CGCTTTGTTTCATTTCTCCATGGTTTTCGGGTTAGTAGTACTTTGGTACCCGCCCGTTGTTTCTCGCCATTTCCCGCTGCCACCTGAAACCAAGGTGGCCGTTCGACCCGAAGCACCAGTTGTGAAGGATTGGAATTCCAGTGCTTGATTTCAACCACGGGTTTCAGAATGCTCGATGACATATTTTGTGTGCAGCCACTATACAATACAATATTATAATTATATAGGCCCTTATACTGGATTTATTTGCGCGTTAGTGCAAGCTGGGATTTTCGAGGATACGCCGGCATTGGGAATTAGGACTTACCCATTGACTTACCACGGTGTTCTTTGTTTGTAGGTTTCTTGATCATTTATGAAACCGCTCAGCCTATGTTGCTTGCGTACTGTTTGCTGGGCAGTCAGCTCAAGTGGCAAGTGAGCCACAATCAAGACCCGGGTAGGTGAAGGTTAGTAAGGGAGGATCCCAGCCATAAATAGCTGCGGCCGCCTTCTTAGTTCTTTACATGGTTCTGGGTCGACTGCTTACTGACGAGGCTCCTCGTTCGTTGCACAGAAGTCCGCACTTCGCAGGCAAAGGCTGCTGGGCTTGCTGGCGGCTTTGCCACGAGCATCACGCGTGCCAACCTCAGATGCTTACCAGGGTTGGGGCAAGATGTGTTCCAAACAAACCGACCATGGCATGATTCCGGGGGAAACCAACACGTTTTTTGTGTTTTTGCAATAATAGTGGTCTAGAGAGTTCAACCAAAAGAGCTGGCCCAACCCTGCTTTCAACACGTGTCAACAATTTCCCGTCGATGGCCATTGATCTTCGGGGGAGGTTGACTTGTCCTTTGGGCAAACGGCCTTTGTGAAGGGACCATTGATCTGCCCGATGAAGCATAGCGCTGTGTCGCTTCAAAGAAGTCCTGAGTCGGCTGAACGGGTACGTATCATTAAAAACAACAAATCAATGCAGGGCCTTTGGGTTTCCTTTAAACCAAGCTGAAAAGTGCACTTAATCAAAGCACACGCCATTTGAGTCCGACTTCAGAGCCATCCACTCGAATTGGTTTCCTTGCGAAGCTGCGGATGACCGCCTTGGCGATTTGTGTGGGGCACGAACAGGGTAGCTCCTGCCAAGCATTGCATCTCAAGATATGTTTTTCCCCCCGCAGAATGGGTTGGCCATTCTAATTTTTATGAGGCTGTATACCTATGTTTGAAGAGAAGGGCTGATGCTGCGTATACACATTGCATCATGTAACATGTCACATGATTCCCGGACAATATGATCGGTAGCTATTGTTGGCTGGGGGAGGTAATGGGGGACAATCCAGATTTGCAACAAAAACGAAGGGAACAACCCATTCTGTCCCTTTTTTTCTTAAGGACAAATAATCTTGTGCGGGGCTCGTAGATTGCAGAAACAGTGGGAAGCAAGCCCTTTGTTGGTGCAAAGCACACAATGGCTACTGGGATTCATGGCATGGCCGACTGATGGGATGGCAAGTACAGGACCCACTTAGCCCGCACCAAAGCTGCTTATCAACTGACAGCCCGCCAAGGAATGTTGAGTGGTATGGACGGTAGCTCTTTTCAACTGGCGAAGCAAGTTCCCGCTGCACCCCAGAAAGATTCTTCGAACCCTTCTAAGAAAGCTTTCTAAGAAGGTTCTGAGAAACTTGCGGGGCCCTTGGTCTCCACCCTAACAGACACCAACTTTGACCTGCTTGGCTGCCATAGTCTGCCAGCTGTTGGCAAGAGCTGGACGGGTGGGGCTCAAAATATTTTGAGCCTACCCCCGAAAAGGGCATCCTGCAAAGACACACTCAGACTGCTGTATGGTAATGTTCTTCATTTTGGTCGCCGCACAGAAAAGTTTTTAGCTGGCAAGGCACGGGTTCTTGGCCTTTCCTTGCTTCTCGGCTTTAACGGTGGTTTCGGATCCACCAGAGATTCAGGACCCGCAAGAGGCTTTTATCAGGGCCCTGGTGTGTCCATGTTTCCTTGCTCAGGCTTTGGCTTTGGCATTCTTTTCTCCTCGACTTTGCAGCTTTGCTATGACCTTCACCCAATGCGGTCAAGTTTGCCGGGCTGCTGAAGGCAACCGCAGTATTTGGACGTCACAAGCTGTCGTAGCTGCCCTTGGAAAAACTAGCTATTCCTTTGCAACGGTCTATCACAAGAAACATGTGATCATGGATAAAGGGAATCCAGCTTTAGCAGGGAGCCCTTGCCATTCACTTCATTTGTTCAGAGCAAATGGCTGTTATTCTATCTTTCGAGTTTACTAAACGGTGGGCCCCAAAACGGGTTGCTCTTTTCTGCCGACTGGGCTCTTAGGCCGACCCTGGCGCGCTTAAGAGAATCCAACTGAGTCGTGCCTAGGTCCCAGCAGTTCACCTGGGCCAGAGCCCCAGGAAAATCCAAGGCAGGCGACTAGGTGGTTTAAAGGAGATCAAAAGCAAAACCCAAGCACATCTTCAACGTGCATATGGAGTTTGAGCATATTGAGGTAAAGCGCCAAACGGCCTCGCACGAAAACTTTGTTTGCGCGGTTATGATGCTTCTCCTACGCAAAGCCAGTTGCAACCTCACATGGCAAGAGCGCCCGAAGACCCACACTGTGCTACCTTCTGTAGACCCCAACCCCCATCCATCATACAGGGGGCGGGGGCTTGCGGGCACACTGTGCTGCCATTCCCACAGATGGGCGGGGGGGTGGGAACCATGGACCCCCCCACCCATCCCACAAAAAAGCGGGGGGCTTGTACGGTCACATTGTGTTACCTTCCTGACTGAGCATGACCCTTTGGGGGGGGTGGGGGGGGCAAGGAAGCCTGGAACATATATATATATATATACATCCTAGTTGGCAGGGTCAAGGGCCAAAGTCATGTACCCCTGCTAAACAAGGCTATATATACATATATACACATGGGATATATAATTTGATTGGAGGTTCACCCACAGGGCAGTGTTCATTCCGGAGGAATCAACCCGCGGGATTGTTTGGGGTCCAACTCCTGGAAACGTTACGCGGATCTCCTCTAAGCTGGGTTGCCCCCCCTCCTACAAATCAGCCAGGTTCCCATTACCTGACGTCCTTGACAAAGGCACTCCTCAGGGGCTCCTGAGCGTTAGGCACGGCTGCGTGCCCTTTTGGCATGATCCTTACACTAGGAATGCCGTTTTCGGGAACACGCTTTTGGCTTTTCCAAAGCGAAAAGGAGGCCATACCTGACCCATTTCCTAAGCCATCGGAAACTTGGCCTAAGGTCATTCACCACCCTTCAGATCTCAACGGCCAGACCAAGCGCGAGCAGCCGCGCCCCTAGCTGCCGGAAAATTGCGTCCGAAGAGAGGGCAAGGTCCCCCAGTAGTGCCCTTTCTCACCCCTTTTTTGGGGGAGGGTTCCCCTACAAAAATAGACTACAGAAAAAGGGCACCCTTATTCTTACCTCTCTAATGGAGGACCTAGAGGGCAAGCCACTATAACGAACCAAAAATTGTCAAAAATTGATGAACTTTGGGGTCCTTGGTATTTTTTGACACACAAGGCATGGCATAGTTCTCTATACCCTCTTTGGCAGACATGGCCTGCAAAAATGCTGCCATGCTTGTCACGGCCGAAAACCATCATGTAAAGCCTAGAGGTACAACATACCGCTTATACCCACAATGCCTGGAAGCACTGGGCATAGCCCTCGGGTCCTGTCGCATGCTTCGAAACTCGGAGCCGGTTCCATGAAGGAGGGATCGCCAGCTTTGACAAACTTGTGGAGTCCTCTCTATGATCAAAGGGAGCACCCTTCTCTCCACTAACATGGCAGCTACCAGAGTCTCCTTTTTAGCGGAAAATTGTCTTCCGGGATCCCCCAATCAGGTTCCACGTTAGTGGACGGGAGGGCACATGGCCAACGTGGCTAAACCTCCGGAATCTGCGAGGATTTCTTGAGTCGATGCAACTCAATGCAACTTGTTCGAGATTTCTCGGGTTTTCAAGACGCGTTCATGGCTCACAGCTTGGAACAGGTTGGTTCAAGATCCTCGTCTCGCTCAACTTCCACTCAGTGCAGTTCTACGGGGGATCTCAAAGGCAAAGCTTGAATTCTGATGTTCTTATTGAATGCTTTTTGCAGGAGACGCCAGCTCAAAAGTCAACACTACATTCACTTTTTCCGATTCTCTCTCGGACAAATTTACTTGCTGTTTCCGACAACTAATATGGTACACCCTCAAGAAGGGTTGCTGGACACAAACAAAGCAAGAAAGAAAGAAAGAAAAAAAGAAAGAAAGAAAGAGAGAGAGAGAGAGAGAGAAAGAAAGAAAGAAAGAAAGAAAGAAAGAAAGAAAGAAAGAAAGAAAGAAAGAAAGAAAGAAAGAAAGAAACAAACAAACAAACAAACCAACCAACCAACAAGCAAACAAACCAACCAACAAACCAACAAACCAACAAACCAAACAAAAGCAAGCAAGCAAGCAAGCAAGCAAGCAAGCAAGCAAGCAAGCAAGCAAGCAAGCAAGCAAGCAAGCAAGCAAGCAAGCAAGCAAGCAAGCAAGCAAGCAAGCAAGCAAGCAACAAACAAACAAACAAACACACACACACACACACATGTAGTTGATCAACAAAACATCATACTCTTTTCGAGCTTTAGCATGTGGGAAGCCCCAAGATTGGCTGGTTCCTTTCGGATCTCTTGAACATCACCCAAAGTCGGGTACCCAATTAACATCCCAGTTGTTCAGTGGCACCCTTTTTCCCTTTCCAACTGAGAAAGGTCAACCACAAAAACAGTTCCCCGTTTTAGAATGGTTATTGGGCAACTGGTTGCCAACCAAAACTGGCTCAAAAAGAAGGTTAGAAAGGGACAGAAGGGACAGTTCCAGCATGAAGCCTTTTCAACTGTTTATACCAGCTTTGGGTGGACCCATATAAACCAGATGCTTGTGACTCAACTGGTTTCTCAAACCAAGGCACATCCGCCTCGGGGGTTTCCCGAGACCACTTTGAAATGGGAGCCAGGGTTTGCAGCCCATCCCGCCATCTCGCTCACAGGTGTTGGGTGGGTCTCCTGGACGAAGCCGGCGGGGACTTCTACCGCTTCAACTGCTTCGACTTGGAGGCGCCCGGGCAAGCACGCCTCAGGCAAAAGGGACATCTTCTGCGAGTTCCTGGACTCAAAGCATCCAAGGTGCTAGACTTTACAAATTTGTTTTGGGGAAATACCTTTGTTGGTGTAGAATTTGAAAAGTGGGCTGTCTTTCCAATCCACTCCGGAAGTAAGTTGGGTGAATTTGTTGGCAAGACTGTACATGAATCAGAATGATGCACGCATACGTGTAGATGTTGCTATCTATGATGCGGGTTTGGCGCAACCGTCATATTCACGCCATCATCCACCGTAGCAAAGTGATGACATTGGGTACGCGTACCAAAATACAATCAGACAATTGCAGTTTACTCATTGAAGCCCCAGGTCATGCAGGTGGGGCCACAATGTGCGCATCTGAAGCCTTTTTCCAAGTGCAATATCTCGCTGTTTATGTCATACGCCCAAACAAAATGGGAAGCCCCATATCGAGACTCCTTTGGTTGCCCTTTGGTTGCCTTTGAAAGCCTCCAAAGGCAACCTCACAGAATACAGTGGGCAGATTGGGGGCTGACGGCAGGGAGACCTTTGGAATGAGACTAGAGGTTGGTATGATTGTTGCTCCCCCAAGGTGACAGTAAGGGAGAGTACATAGAAATCCTTACTAGGAAGATGGCCCCTGACTTCGAGTGGAGGTGAAAACGACCCTTGTCAGGTTGATTTAGAGGGACACCAAAAGGAAAGCCAGCATTTTGGGGGGTCTACCCAAATGGGGATCAACTTTTCGACCACTGCAGAGCCTGCGCCTCTTAACACAAGGCCATGCACACGGCGCATGCGGCCAGTTGTGGATGCATTGAGGGGGAGTCATGACATGTCCCCTGTCCGTTGCAGCAACCACAGATTTGATTTTGACCGTGGTTGATGTGACTTGCTCCGTGGTCCATGTTCAATTTACAATATAAATGCGGTGCTACTGCCGATTGGCAACCACGCACCAGTTTGGTAGTTGGGCCGAATTGGGTTGGTTTCCAGCAAGCAAGACACACTCATATGAAGAGCACCAGCAAAAGCCCATGAAGCCCTTTGGGGCTCGACCGTGAGTGCTCTTATTCCGGTGCCACCCCACAAATGTGCTCTTCTACCAAAACATGGTTTTGGGCTGGTTCACAACATCATTGTTTCCTCTTTTGGCAGTGAGCTTTGCCAAGATGGGTTGGCTTAGCAAAACCGCGAATTGTGCCTAAGTGGACACGACCTGGTATGTCTACAACGCCCCTTGCAAGCCGTAGCCCTGAACCCTATGTAGGCAGAAAATACCCCACCTACGCCCGAGACCCCAATGCGGCGCCAAGCGCCTGGGGCTCTATGTTTGCTCGCTTGGGCAGGTCCCCGATCGGACATTTCACTCGGGTTTCCCCAAAATGAAGCCCCAAGAAGTTTTCTTTCTTCTTTTTTTTTTTGGGGGGGGGGCGGTTGTCTTGAAACTTGCCAAAAGAGGGTTTCGCTCCAGCTCCCCAACCTCTAGACCTCCAGGTCGAAGGTTGGGCAGGGCGTCCGTGGGTAAGTCCCAAAAACGAACGGGTCGGTCACAACGAGTCGGGCTCCGTTACCTCGAGATTAATGTGGATCCCACAGAGAACCCGATCCAGTTGCAGAGGAATCTCCTTTTTGGGAAAGGACGCCTTTTTGGGTTGCATCAGAGTAACCATGGCTCAATTTTCCATAACGAGATGGATGACTTGTTGCTTGTTCCAGACCCCTATTAAAAGGACGGCAAAGCGACAAAATGCAAGCTTTTAGTTTCCCCTTATCCAAAAAAGGACACCCCCCCAGAACAAGAAGCACTGAAGGAACCCCCCGCTCAGCTTCCCCTAGTTGGTGGTTTGGATTGGTGGACAACTAATAGGTATAAATATGTACATGTGCCGATCTGAATCTCGGGTTCCAGGTTGACCATCTTATGAGCTGGGAAGCTAGTGATGCTGCGTCCAAAAGGTGGCTCCCCAAAAACGACGAGCCGCCCTTTTGGGGGGGGGTTTGGGGGGGGGGGGGGCAGAGCGCTCCTCTGAAACTGCCAGGCCACAGCGGACCCGCGGCTCATGCAGCAGAGCCCGGACCACCGACTGGACCATGTCGCCCGGGGCCCCGATTGGGACCTTTGCCCGATGGGGCCCTCTCGGTCTCCTCCCCCAAAAATGCCCCGCACGTGGCTGGGGCTTCTCCGACCAGATCTTTTTAGGTTGATTCGTTAAAGTTATATGGCCATGGGTGAAAACCAATGGCCAGCCATTTTGGGTAGGTGCACCACCCATTTTAGAACCTATTTTAGAGGGGATTGGGATGTTCACTAGAAGTACGGGGTTTGACCCATAGCCATATATATATATATGATCTGGACTCAATATGAAGCAGAATTCAAAGATATATCTTCTGGTGCACCCTGGGCTTCAGCCAACTTGGAGAAACCTTGAGGATTGTCACTGACAAGAACCTCATGATCGGACAAGCAGCGTGTCACTGACAACAGAATCAGAAAAAAATGGAAGAAAGGAAGAAACAAACGCAGCGAGCAGGTTTAAACGGTGTTTCTGCACGTGAGCTGTGGAAACTGAGGCATGCGTTCATTGCCTGCGACTTCTCCAACATAAAGTGGTGGGGCTCTTCTACCGCGAAAGCTGATGATTTTGTGGCTGTGCGAGCCAAGCGTACTCAATGCCTTGCTGGACCCGTGGGTTTGAAGCCTTGGATGGAGCCCACTCAGCGCAGGCGACGACTTTTGGCCAGTCTGAGCTCTCAATGTTGCAAGGCCAGCAGCCTCCACCCCCGCCTTGAAATGGGCAGATTGCAGTGGGATGCGATTCTAAACACCATGGTCAGAGCCAGGGAGAGGCTGCATCCAAGCCTTTGAGAAGTTGACGAAAATTGTCCAGATTGGAAGGGTCTCCACGTCTGAACGCATGAGCATTTTGACGCAAGCTGAACCAAGCTGGCCATTGCTTTCCGTTCCACGGCACAGCGTCGAACGGTTATGGTTTGAGCGGTTGGAGATGTCTTTCCAGCTCATCCCAGCTCGCAGAGATTCTCACAGTTCCCAGTCCCAGTGGTCACAGCCGTTCGTCAAGTGTTGGTCGTTGCTTTTTTTGGGGCTATGCCGTTGCACAACCGGAATGCCGCTCAGAGCGAAGAAGCCCCCGCAATCATTTTGGCGCCCTTCCAAGTCGCCGAAAAGAGAACTTTGCGCACTTTCAACCCAATCGCTTCAAAGGATAATTCCGATAAAAAACATCGCTTCACAAGAACAGCGGCAAACCCTGGCTCGCACGCCGGTGTCACACACACACATGTCCAGGGGCTTCCGCAAATGGGCTTGTTGCTTCGCGCCCAATCCACTGAGCAAGTCAGCAAATCAGATATTTCTCTTAATGTTGGACCCTGTTTCATTAATCAACGCTGGGGTTGAGACATCGATTCCAAGCAAGGCTTCCAAACCGGATCCTTCGATATTTTGAACTTTTGGCAAGCTATTGGACTGTCCATGTGCCCGTCCAGAAGTTTGGAAGGGGACTGCTCAACGGAAACTTCACGGGAATCCCGTCTAGGTCCCCCAGTAGTACCCTTTTTTGGGGGAGGGTTCCCCTACTAAAATAGACTACAGAAAAAAGTTGGTACCCTTATTCTAACTTCTCAAATCTGGAGGACCTAGCCATTAACAGCCAGGAAATTCACAGGTTGGGCTTCCGACGGCTCCATGGGACTCCATGAAATGGCTGGAAATGGGCAGATTGCAGTGGGATGCGATTCTAAACACCATGGTCAGAGCCGGGGAGAGGCTGCATCCAAGCCTTTGAGAAGTTGACGAAAATTGTCCAGATTGGAAGGGTCTCCACGTCTGAACGCATGAGCATTTTGACGCAAGCTGAACCAAGCTGGCCATTGCTTTCCGTTCCACGGCACAGCGTCGAACGGTTATGGTTTGAGCGGTTGGAGATGTCTTTCCAGCTCATCCCAGCTCGCAGAGATTCTCACAGTTCCCAGTCCCAGTGGTCACAGCCGTTCGTCAAGTGTTGGTCGTTGCTTTTTTTGGGGCTATGCCGTTGCACAACCGGAATGCCGCTCAGAGCGAAGAAGCCCCCGCAATCATTTTGGCGCCCTTCCAAGTCGCCGAAAAGAGAACTTTGCGCACTTTCAACCCAATCGCTTCAAAGGATAATTCCGATAAAAAACATCGCTTCACAAGAACAGCGGCAAACCCTGGCTCGCACGCCGGTGTCACACACACACACATGTCCAGGGGCTTCCGCAAATGGGCTTGTTGCTTCGCGCCCAATCCACTGAGCAAGTCAGCAAATCAGATATTTCTCTTAATGTTGGACCCTGTTTCATTAATCAACGCTGGGGTTGAGACATCGATTCCAAGCAAGGCTTCCAAACCGGATCCTTCGATATTTTGAACTTTTGGCAAGCTATTGGACTGTCCATGTGCCCGTCCAGAAGTTTGGAAGGGGACTGCTCAACGGAAACTTCACGGGAATCCCGTCTAGGTCCCCCAGTAGTACCTTTTTTTGGGGGAGGGTTCCCCTACTAAAACAGACTACAGAAAAAAGTTGGTACCCTTATTCTAACTTCTCAAATCTGGAGGACCTAGCCATTAACAGCCAGGAAATTCACAGGTTGGGCTTCCGACGGCTCCATGGGACTCCATGAAATGGCTGGATTGCAGTGGGATGCGATTCTAAACACCATGGTCAGAGCCGGGGAGAGGCTGCATCCAAGCCTTTGAGAAGTTGACGAAAATTGTCCAGATTGGAAGGGTCTCCACGTCTGAACGCATGAGCATTTTGACGCAAGCTGAACCAAGCTGGCCATTGCTTTCCGTTCCACGGCACAGCGTCGAACGGTTATGGTTTGAGCGGTTGGAGATGTCTTTCCAGCTCATCCCAGCTCGCAGAGATTCTCACAGTTCCCAGTCCCAGTGGTCACAGCCGTTCGTCAAGTGTTGGTCGTTGCTTTTTTTGGGGCTATGCCGTTGCACAACCGGAATGCCGCTCAGAGCGAAGAAGCCCCCGCAATCATTTTGGCGCCCTTCCAAGTCGCCGAAAAGAGAACTTTGCGCACTTTCAACCCAATCGCTTCAAAGGATAATTCCGATAAAAAACATCGCTTCACAAGAACAGCGGCAAACCCTGGCTCGCACGCCGGTGTCACACACACACACACACATGTCCAGGGGCTTCCGCAAATGGGCTTGTTGCTTCGCGCCCAATCCACTGAGCAAGTCAGCAAATCAGATATTTCTCTTAATGTTGGACCCTGTTTCATTAATCGACGCTGGGGTTGAGACATCGATTCCAAGCAAGGCTTCCAAACCGGATCCTTCGATGTTTTGAACTTTTGGGTCAAAACCGTCTTGGATCCCATTTTGGGATGGGTGCACCACTCATGTTAGCCTTTTTTCGTGGTTGGATGGAATCGGATGACTGGGGGTACGGGTTGAACCAGGGCCAAATCGCCGGAAGCTCGGACGTCAGGTGGAGAAGAAGAAGGCCATCGCCAAGGCAGCCTTACGGCGCCGAGGGAGCTGCGTTACTCTGCAGGCGGCTTGCCCGGGGCTGGCAGCTGGGCGCCAGGGGGCGCTTTGGGTCATGCAGCGGTGGGCTGTGGGTTACCGTTTATGCCGTGGTTTTGAAGCGACACCGAAGCAAACCTAGGTATCCTGTTCCAAGGCATACCCATCTGGGGCTGCTTCAAAAGGAGGGGACCTCTGCAAACTAATGGTTTCGCTCAAAGGGGCCAAGAAAGACAGGGAATTGGAATGTTGGTTTCCCTTGCAACCAACCAACAGGCAGCTCTTCTGCAATTTTTGCGAGCTCACCTGGGGTGTGCGGCAAACAACTCACACATGAACGTTGTTCACATGAGCATGCCTTGTTTCTGGCGAGGAACATATTGCACGAGAGCGGCGTGGGGTGCATGGTGTCTCGTGTCCGACTGCCGAATGCGCCGCTGGGGTTCACTGCTTTGTGCTGATCGGATTTGAACGTTTTTCTTTTTGTTGCCTCTCTTGATGTTGGGGGCAGGGTGGGGAGATAGGGGGAAGGCCATGTTTGCAACGGTGGTTTTCACTTTTGAGCTGGTTTTTGAGCAGAATGGTAACGCTTGGGAATTCACCTTGTATCCGAAGCAGACTCATTTTTCTGAGCCTTGCTGGTAACTGCCTGTCCCTTGAAGCGTTTCAGGCCCTTACCACCAAGAAGGCAATGCAGATGTCACCTTAGTGGGCCCAGAATGGAGTTGTGGCCATCTTGCTGGTTCACACTTTGCTTTTTGTGACCTGTGTTCCTTGTCCTTTGTTTGCAATTTGTCTTCAACTTTCTGTCTCAGCGATGAAGCTGCGAAAAGATCGCGCCATTAGCTTCTTCTGTGAAGAATGGCCAGCCGTTCCAGGACGACGGAGTCTAGAAAACACCCCGCACCCTGCATGTATCCAGAGCTGACAGTCCCAATAGGAGCTCCGTGAACCCCAGTCGATCTGCCTATCTGCCGATCTGCTTGCGTTCAGGCCGTCTTCGAGCTTCAGACACGAACCTGCGCTGCCCCCAGGGCCCAGTTTGGTCGTTGAGTAGAATCCCACGGTTTGGAGGCAGCTTTTGTGGACCCACACCTTGCGGGCTGCCCAAGTTCTTGTAGGCTGCTCCAAAGAGCGTCACAAGAGCATATCAAGGGGGCAGGCACTTCTGGGCATCGAACAAATTCCAATGCATTTTAACCGTTTTCTAGATGAAAGGGTGCTGCTGCTGGCTGTGCATGTGGATGTTCAAAGAAAACTGGACAGGCAAGCTGACCGGATGTGTGTGTGTGTGTGTGTGTGTGTGCGGTGTGTGTGTGTGTGTGTGTGTGTGTGTGTGTGTGTGTGTGCGGTGTGTGTGTGTGTGCTGTTTGCGTGTGTATGTGCGAAAGCATTTGCTTAGTTCATGATGTGTGTCATGGTTGTGGTCAGAGACTGAGGCTGGATCAACGTGTTCATCAACGACATGGCCCGGCCCTGTCGAGGGTGTCACGTTGGGGACGTCGTAATCCGTGAATGCCGTTGAGGCAAGCATGCCAAACAGCCAAGCACACAGGGTGCATTTGTGGATTGAAGCAGACTTCAGTTTGAACGTTGCAAAAGGTCAAGCCAGGAAGTGATATATCTTTACTGCGCATGCCTCATTTTATGAATCGTTTAGTTGCTTGTGGTACTCCTGGGAAAAGTGGAGTTTGCCTCTGAGGAGCCCATCAACATACCTATAGATCTTCATTTGGCATTTTGTGGGTCGAAATTCTTGGTGGCGGAATTGTCCGGCGCATTCTTAAAAAACACCACCGATTTCAAGACAAACGCCGACGCCAACCAAAAAAATGCGTAAATGCAGAAACAACGCCGCAAGACGAAATTAATGACCGCCAATTGCCGCCGATTTCCCATCACGCTTTCGAGAAGAAAGTGCACTAAATCAAAAACACCGACAAGCGACAAAACCGCCGGAATTCAAAACAACAACGCAGACAAGGCGCCTTTCCTCAGCTGAGAGCCTGCAAAATGAAGGTCCTACTATTCTGTGTCAGTTGCAACTCCTTTCGACAAGTGGTGCGATACACAGCGCAGTGGCCTTTGCCAATGCCGCAGGATTGCAATGAGCGAATTGAGATTTCATCGCAAGGGGAGCCCTTAGTCGCCGGGATAAGAGGAGAAGGCATTGATTTACATCATCATCCTAGGATCATGACTCAAGCTGGCTTGATAGTATCCCACAACCCCATGTTAATTCAATCATATCCTATATCACCTTCTGGGCAGGGGGGGAAGGTCGGGGAAGCCCGGATGTGAAGTCCGGATCTCTGGAAACCCAGGGTAAGTCGCAACTTTAAAATCCCACCTTACCTGCCGAGGGTTTTCCGCAGCTCCTTTCATCGGAGTTTCCCCTGGCCAGTGATTCAAAATTCAAGCTGATCAGCGGTTCAATGTCGTGCAAACTCGCAGGACAAACTACAGGAAGCTCGCCAACCTATCAAATTTGGAGTGGTTGGGCGAAATTGTCGTAGAGTATTCTCTGCTCTCGCTGGTTTCTTTGACAATGACAATGGATACAACACCGGAAGCTGGGGAGTGTCACGTACAGTGATTGGCAAGGAAGAGGCCTCGGCTTGCGACTTGGCTTAGCAGCTTCTTCCAACCGTAGCCCCAACGCAACCCCCAACCCCCCACCCCCAACACCCCAACCCAACCCCCAACTCAAACCCCCCACACCCGCCCCCCTCCCCCCAACCCCCCCCACACCCCACACCCCCCCCCCCACCACCCCCCCCCCACGCCCCCCCCACTCAACCCCACCCCAACCACCCCCCTTTTGCCGGCTCCTTCCAGATCATCGACGCCCGCATCTTGCGGCTGCAGCACCGGCAGGGCCTGCGCTGCGCCGCCTTCGTGGGGAACACCGGCCCAGGGCCCAGGGGCAAAGCGCGCTTCGCGCGGCTTCGCGCCGAACCGAGAGACGACGACTTAGACGAGAGGAACGGAGGACTGTTCATGGGGAGAATGGGAAAATTGATTTATTTGGACATCTGGGAAAATGGGTTTGTGTGAGTAGTTTTGGCCACCTAAGATCAGTCTTGAAGCAATGGCAGCCGAGGACAAAAGTTGCTAGTCCTAAGATAAAAATGAGCTGGCTTGCTTTGGATGGAGACGGAGGCCTAAGGGCTGTCCGATTCTGAGCTGCATGGCAAACAAAGAGACAAGAACCATGGCGCCTGCGCGTTCTGTGGAAAGCTGGCAGTCCGGGGCAACGCACATAACTACCCCAAGGGTCAACGAATTGGCTTTTTGTCCCTGGGATTGCTGAAGCTGCGGGAGTGAAGCAAATTCAGTCATACCAGTATGGGTATCGCCAGAGTTTGTAACTGTCCCTTTACAACCGGACTATGCAACCTCCCAGCTCCAAGTGCAGAGGGGGTGCGGTGTCAGTTGCAAGGGCGAGCAACTTCCTGGGTGTGTGGGTGTATGTGAGGCCCCATTTTGACACACCCAGATATCAAAGAAACGCGCTGGATCTGGCAAAGGCGGCTACCCGAAGATGAGAGCCATGTACCAACATAACCCCATAGTGGAAGGGATGTTCTTCCTTGGGCTCCACCGTTCCACTTCTCTCTCTCTCTCTCTCTCTCTCTCTCTGTCTCTCTCTCTTTGTTCACACTCTCTCTCTCTCTCCCTCTCTTTCCCTCTTTCTTTTTATCCCCTCCCCCCTTCCCCTCTCCCCCCCTCCTCCCCCCCTCCCCCCCCTCCTTTCCCCCTCCCCCCGCCTCCTCCTCCCCCCTCTCTGCCTTTGATGCCCTCCTCCCCCCCTCCCCCCCCTCCTTTCCCCCTCCCCCCGCCCCTCCTCCCCCCTCCCCCCCCTCTCCCCCTGCCTTTGATGCTTTCCCGGCGAGGTCAGCATTTCTCTTCCCTGCCGCCGCTCTTCACACAGTGCTCGCCCGGAGCGCCAGTTGGGGTTCGAGTCTCGAGACGTAGGCTGTGCTGTGCTTGGGAACGGGTGTGTGCATTTTTGAAGGATACCTTTTTGGGATGGTTTGAAAGGAAAACTAACATTCCGCCGTTTTGGAAAGGTCCCCATGTTTTGACAACGACTCAAATAGCTGGAAGCAGAGGAGTTCCTTTGAAAACATTTCCCTCATTGCAGCGGATCCGACCCATGAGCAAGACAATTGTGTATGCGGAGCTTCCCCAAAGCTTCCAATGTGCCCCTGGGCAAATAGGCAGGAAACGCGGGAGGGCGAAGCCAAAGCGGAAAGGTCGAAGAACATTCTATGCTCCTTCCTGGCCTTAAGTCCTTGCAAGCAGATGTGCCTGGGTCAAGACTTTGCTTGCGAAGTGCGAAAGGGTTGTCAGCGCTGGATATGGCCCCCATTAAGCGAAAACATGCCAAGACCATGGCCCTCATTGGGAGTCTTGACCTCTTGGCAGATGTCACAAGAAGTTTGGGAAGGGTGCATATCCTTTGGCAACATTTGAGACATGTTTACCCTCAACTAAAATGATGGTGGGGGAATATATGCAAATCTTAGGGTTTAGGGTTGAGCATTGGCCCATATTGAGTGGCAGTGCTTTTACTTGGCCGGGAAGACTGACAGATTTCCGCAGCTAAGTCGAGGATTGTTTTTGGAGAATACTTTCATCTCCAGCGGTCTTGTCAAACTGGAATGCACGGCCCTATGTTATCCTTAATGATTTTGTTTCAACACTCCTCTGAGTTGGAACCATTGACTGTCTTCGCTTTGCAGCCGCCCACACGAGCAATGGACAACGGTAGTTCCGTACCGATCTTGCCAATCGGGTTAGAGAATTGCCAATCGGTTTCTTGTGGTAATGTTGTTGGGCCTTCATATGCGGTCGGTTAAAACCCCTCGTGCATAGTGCAGCTCTTCGGGGAGTCCAGGGTGATCCCAACCCAGCCATCCCTTGGAATTTGGCCACCTTCTGCGTGATCTAAAATGTTGCTGGAGCTAGTGTGCAGAGAACCAGTTGGTTTGGCCTGAGGTACGGCCAGGTGATGTATCAGCTGCCAGGGAAGCCTCAGGACAGCCAGTGGGCGTGTGTAAAGGGTTCGCTGTTCACATCTCACCAAAAAGCAAACTGAAAGGACAGCCACTTGGGTGCTCGGCCAAGTTAGTAAGTTGTTGGTAACCTGGGTACTCATTTCCAAGTCCCCCTAGGTGGGGGTAACCTTGTTAGGGGGTGATTCCCCAAATGGCTAACGACTTACAAACTTGGCTGAACATCCAAGGACCATTTTGGCGCTGCTTCCCCCTTCCATTTTTTCACCTACCCATGTATGCCTGACCTCGTTTCTAGTTGTAAGCTTACAAGAAGTCCACCTGGAGGCGCGACCTGGGTAAATTTAAGTGGCTGAGTGGCTTGTTTGTTGATGGGACTGGGACTTGTGATGCGATGAATATGTTGGTATCATTTTCCTTGTACTAAACTCAGATTTAACTAGCTGTTCAACGTTTAGTGGAAGCCTGTCAAAGCGTTGCTTTGAGCCACTTTGAATCGATTTCCCAATGGAGTGCGCTTTGTTGGTCAAGTCTGCTGGCCGCCATGTTGACCTCTCATCGGCTTGCTACTGGAGAGAAGATGTGGTTGCATTGCCCGCCAACCTTGGGAATTCGGATTTCCCCAACACAAATAAACTGTTTGCAGCCAGGAGAATGCCTTACGCGTGCCGGGCTCTAGCCCCTGATTAAACAATGTCTCATATATCTTCTGCGAGAGGGGTACGGAAGGTTCCAGCTTGGCGGCTATTGACTCCCACGGTTACCGCCTGAGGTGTTCAAGGGGATTGTGGGTATGTGTCAGAACTGGGGGACAGTTTCCCTTTGGTGTCCCGTTCAACCAAGCTTCAACAAAACACGAAGGGGTACCGAGAGGTCTAAAGGTCAAACGGTATCCTCAAGAAGCTAAAGAAACACAAACGAAGAAAACAACACACAAAAAAGCCCATGTGGCCACACACAAATATCCAAAATGCAAAACAACACGCAAACCAACACCAAACCACGCATACCCACCCAGAACGTATTTGTGGAAGCCGAGTCCTCGTTGTTTTTTGAGACACCCCGAGGACCGCTTTTCGAAGTTCAGCCTGCCACTGCTCATGTGGACCAGCTTCGAGCAGCGGCCTTGGGAGACGCGCGGGGGAGGGGATTTGTTGAGCCGGAAAGAGGTCATTTCCGCTGGCTCTAGGGATCCAGAGGGCAACCGGGAAAACCAAAGGGAAGGGAAACACGGATGGCTCGTTTTTTTTGTTTTTTGCGCCCAACAATGGCGGCTTTTTCCGCTGAGTTTGCCTTTAAAACCAACCCAAATCAAGGGGTAACCATGGTACCGTCAAGATTAATACAGTGGTTTGAACATGTCCAGAGGTCGGGTTTGCAACATTCATTACGGCCATGTTTGAATGAGCTTCATGTATTGACGATTAATAGGGACATTTTAGCAAGGTTGCTGCGAGCCGTGAAAGGATGACCAAACCCCCAGGGTGGAAAATCGGAGAACGGTTTTTGCTGTGCCTTTGCCAGCCATGGTTATTGTTTTCGCGGATCGGGTTGAATGGGAGCAAGCCTGGTAAGCCAGCAGGAGCTACGGACAGTGCCAGGTGATGTTCGTGGTTTATGGTTCTGTTTTTGGGTTGGCGAATCATATCATGGCCAGGAGACATGTTAAATTGTGAAAGGTTGTTCATCAAGGATTCGGACAAGTATTGTAAAGGACTCCTCTTAAGGGAAGCACAATATCATGACTCGTATATATTTGGGCATCTCACTTGCACAAAGCGAATTGGCCTTGTCGATAGTGGTTAGAGGACCTATGACTCTTTTGCGCTTATGTTGTTTGTCTCTGGTGGGCAATTGAACTGATTATTCAGTCTTAGCATGTGGCCACACATTTGACTGGGGAGCACCATCGCACAGGGTTGGTTGGCACAAATCCTCATGCAGGTAATATTCGCCAAGGTAGTGAAGGCACATTATTTCCAAATTGGGAACCCCGCGGCTCCAGCAGGCCCACAAAGCAAAAGGAAACATGGAGGTCCAAGATCTGGTTTTTGGTTGCAGCAAAAATAGGTTTGTGTTTGGAGAAACCAGGTTTTGTGGTTGAAGCAAGCGGTTAGTGGTTGGAGAAAACGAGGTTGTGCTAGGAAAAGCAGGGCCGTCCTTCGCTCTAAACCACGGAGCCCCAAAAATTGCGTTCCGAGGCACAACATCCAGGTGCCCACGCCGGGGGAGCGTTCCTCGGTGGGCGCCTCAGTTCCGCGGTCCGGTGCAGGGAATCCGTGCCACGGATTTGGCATCTGGAGAAGCATTGGACAACAGCTTTTTTAGGAAAGGGAAAGCCATGGAAGCCACCAATGTTTTTTGGGTTTGAAAGCCTGGAAACTTAACATTGGGGAACCGTTGGACAAAAGCATGTTGGGAAAACCTGGATGGAAACCACTTGGTTCCCGTGAAACCATGGAACAATAGGCTTGGACACCACGAGGATCCATGGAACACAAATTATGGGGCGGGTGACTGCTGTGACGACGGCAAGCACATCCGGTGCTTCCCGGAGTCAGGAGATCAAGGTGGACATGGCCTTGGGCTTCAAGATCTTGGACGTCCATGGAAAGAGTTTCATGCCTACCTGGCGGCTTGCGGCGACAAATGACAAGCAGAGGATCTTGTTTCCGAAGACCGGCCCCGCCGCGTGTCAGTCTGGACAACATCGAGGAGCACCAACAGTGTGAGCTTGTGTTGCCTATGTCACACAGGACGTGTCACCCAATCACGGTGCGCTTGGGCATGGGGTGGTTCACAAGAAAACCAAGTGAAGGCCAGGTTTTGGGCAACACAGAAATTTGGTTGCGAGCTCGGGCCCCATGATCAAGGTCCACTGCTGGCGGATCCCTAGTGATTTGGGCAGCTGTATTTGGGCAACTGTACTCACAAGGGGTTCTGGTTTGCGATCGGATGAAAGTTCCTTTGATTCGAATCCCGTATTTTGGGCTGCTGTGTTCTTTTGGGCGCGAAGGCTTTTCAAGGCTGTGTTGCATATGTTTGATAGCCACAGGCACCTTTGTGCCTTGGACTAAAAAGTCGGTCGAATTTCGATAATCCCAGGGAATCTGAACCATGCCTGTTCAGACTGATGCTTGGGATCGGTGGTCCATGGAGATGTTCGCCAAGCTTCTTTCACCTAGGCCCAAAAAGGAGTTCCTTCGAAGCGCAGTCCAAAAAGTGGGCGAGCTGACTTGCCGTTCTTTTTGGACCCTCCGACTTTTGCAACCCTCTAAGGCTCCAAGCCGGTCAGAAAGATTGCGAAACGCACAAGTATTACATCACGAAGCCGTTTGGGTATGTGTCAAAATAGGGGAGACCCCAACACATTGCGGTGTTCCTTTGGGTTCCCTTCAAATCCAAATAGGGCACCCTCCAACAACCACACAGCCGCTTGCTTCGGCTTCGCTTAGATGCGAAATCATGACCCTCTGTGACAGGTCTTAGCACACCCAATGGTTCCCAGTTGCCACTGTAGGACACCTCCATATAGCTGTGGATGGTTGCGAAATCCGTTCGCACCACGCGTATTTACGTTGGGGACCGGGAATCGAATCATTCCAGGTGTGCTTAGATGATGCGAAATGGAGTTCGTCCATCCACAGTAGGTGTCCTTTTTGGGTGAGTTTGGTTAGAAATAGATGGCACTGGTTTAGATCGGTTTTATGCCATTTACCGGGGAAACCCATCTATTTTCCTAAAAGGTCCCTTAACCATCCATTTCCCTTTCAGTCAGAGGGTGGTTACACCCCTGTTTCGAACAAGTCAAACCAGTCCCTGTTTTTTGGACCCTTTGTCCATTTCTGAAGCCTTTTGAGCCCCACGGTGCTCTCCACCCATTTGCCGGTACCTCGATGGGCCTCACCTACACCACTTGTGTGCTACATACGGAGCTCTGAATTTGTGTCTAGGCTCCAGGGTGTGTGTCTTTTTTTACGGCAACCCTTTGTTGGGTGGTTTTAAACGAAGCCAAAAGGAGCAACAAAAACGCCATTCCCTTGGGTCCCTACGAAAAAGGGACAAACACACCATTTCTCTTTATTTTTTTTACGAAAAAGGGACAAAGACACCATTTCTCTAGATCTGGGGGGTCCCTACAAAAAGGCACATGTCACGAGGTCTACTACTGCTACTCGGACATGGCGGAGTCGGAGTCCATGCCCTTCGACCACCCCGCCTCCGAGCGGGCGAGACGCCGCGTGCTGGGGCGCCTTGCGCCAGGGCCCCGGGAAGCTTCCGGCGGGTTGAAAACGCAGGGCGGGGGGGTTTTGGGGGTGCGCAGTTGGATGTTCCGCCAAGTTACCCACTTACAAGTCCCCCGTTCAATGGGCCTGACCTTATATATATATATATAATTCATACATATATATATATATATATATGAGAGGGTTATACCCCAGGCGGCGAACCACGTAGTAGCTTGGCCGAACATCCAAGTAGCCAATCCAAGGCGCTTCTGTTTGGCAAAGCCCCGCGTTTTTTTTTTTTTTTGGGGGGGGTGCCTGTTTTCCAAGGATTTATTTCGACAAGACATGGACGAGCCAATCTGCGAAGCTGAGTTCCAAGGTTCCAGTGGTTTCAACCGTCCATTGTATTGCAACCACGGACATGTTCGGTTGCGCTGACTCGCCGTCCAAGACACCCTTCAAACAGGTGTTCGTGAGGTTTACTCTGCATGCAAATTGACAGGGAATCCCAAACAGAGGGCTTTCCAAAAACATATTCTTCCAACAATTATGCTATTGTGTTGGTTCAGTTCTAGCACAGTAATAGTCTTGAAAAGAAGCACTGTCCGTTGAATTGTCGATTCTTCTTATCAGGCGTTCGGTTCCATTGTTTTGTTGCAAGCCGGAGGAAATGTGCAGCTTGTTCAAAACCTAATCCCCTTGATTGGCAGATTGCGCACTATGATGTTCAGGGATTGGACTATGCGCTTCACGGATTACGCATTGTGGGTTGCATCGGTTTTCAATGCTCCAGCATAAAGCGTAAGGTTTACGGATTGAGCAGATTGCCAACCATAAGACGGATTAAGCGGATTACGGATTGTGATTACGCCCCAATGGATTTTGAGCAGGCCATAATTGTTGATCAGCCGATCAATCTGCTGGTTTGAGCTGGCCTCATGGCTGCACCCGCTGTGTCGGTTGGGCCTTTCATTTTGATCTTGTCGTCCCATTGGTGGGCATCCGCGGATTATACAAACCCCAGTGTTGTTTTACGCCTTCTGCGATTGCCATCCGGGAGACCTCCAGGCCAAAAATGAATGCCCGTGTGATGCTTGCGGGGCTGTTTCTCTTGCAAGGCAAGCAGTCAAGAGCTTGGTTTCTGACAGATCCCTAAGACTTGTAGGGGAGCACGAGCAGAAGCAAAAATCAACACGCAAGGTCACTTTGTCGGTGACCCTGATGTATGAAACTGTTGTAACGCTTCTTGCAAACGGGCAAATGATGCTAGGATTGGCATTGAACGTCGAAACAGCAATCCGTCCACTGAGGCTCGGAGATTCAGTGGGGCTTCGCCTCAATACTTATTTATGTGTCAAAAGGGTCCTTCAATGATGGCTTTCCTGTTGTTTTTCGCGCCGAGCTGAACACCCAAACACAAACCGGCACACACATTCCTCGCTTCGACTCGCTGCATAGCCGACACCATAGATGTCCTTTTTGGTTGATTTGGTTTAAGAATATTTCGGGCGATTCCTGGTTTACTTGGTGGTTCTATCAACTGCGAGGAAACCCATCTATTTTCAACCAAAAAGACCAGGGCCATCTAGTTTCAACCAAAAAGGAGACCAATGGCCGACACGATGGAACACCCGCTTAGGAACCCCAAGCTGGACTTGTCGCGGAAGATCATCGAGGCGAGGAAAGAGGAAAGCATTGGCGTATCCCCGCTCCCCATGGCTTGCCTGCGGAAATGAAGGCGCTTTGCCGGGGGGCCGTAGGATTTCCAGTTGAGGAAAACTGCTGGGCCAATCTGAAACATTTTTCGCCCTCCTTTTTTCGGAAAGCCGTTTTCCGATTAGTTATAGCACCCTCTTGGTGGGGGTTTTCGGGATGGTGTTAATTGGCATGTTAGACAACTATTCTAAGATATTCCTATTCAGGGAACCAACACCATAGCCCACGTAAGGCGGTTGAACACAGCACACATATGAAGGTCTGTTGAAGCAAAATGAGGTTCAGAATGTGTGCGGTTTCATGTGGTCTAGCTTTTTATGGGTGCTGTTTGCAGGTACAAGCTTGTTTAGCCATGAACAGGTTGCAGCTATACGCACAAAACATTGATTGCTCTGCGTTTTTGTTGTTTGTTTCTCGCATCCTGCTTAGAGCCTACTGCTTCTGGGTCATCTGACATTTCTCATCGACCTGCGGGGGAAAGGTGAGATTACCATGCCACGGAGTGATTCCCCCGAGTCGAGGTATGTTCATTGGCAGGCCTAGACTATCCTTTTTGAGCCAGCAAACACTTAACACTTCTGGCTGGTGCTCAGTACAAAATAAGAGAATGAACCTGGGGATTCCCTTAAAGGAAAGCACAGGGGATGGTTTATAGGGATTCCCTCATTCCCCGAGCAGCAGCAAGATTTACTGGGTCGAAGTCTCGCCAAGTATGAGTCAGGATGTATTTTGAAGGAGGCCAAGGGTGTCTGATGGCAATTCGCAGAGCCATAATCATAGTGGTGAGGGTTGAACGAAGACAGTGCCAGCCACAAACAGGTGCGACGGTCCATTTTGCTCTGGATGGTCGGCTGAACCCCGGGTCCCAGTAGTGCAAATAATTGACTCATAGAGCATTGTACGGCCTCATCAGGTCCATGTTGCAACCCTTCGTGAGGAATTTCCATTGGGGAGCTTGACGATAGGATCAGGGCCCGCCCCCTTTCCATCCTTTGCCCCCCTGGGCAAATTAGTCTGGAACACAAAAAGCCATCGAATCATTTATAAAGAATCTCAGTTTGGGTCCTATTCCGGCTCCATGTTAATTTGCATGGTAGGAAATTATTTGACCACCTGACTTGGGTTTTGGTTTTGACAGAGCAGAGAGAACGGTTCGCTGAATTGTCCAAACTGTCCAACTTGTACCCCCCCTCACCAAGGACCTTTCATGGGACACCTAGAGGAAAGGGATCAGGCTGGGCACATTAAAATGAGATCACCTGAGAACTAGAATGAGCTCAAGGTGCTTCACTGCGGGGTCCCCTTATTTCCGGTTTGGGAATTACAGTACTTTGTACAAGGGGATCCCCCACAAGAGTTTCCTGTTTTTTCTCCGAATGATCAAGCATTGCTTTCGATTCATTTTGCTCAATTGATCTTTCTCGAGTGCACCCCTTTTGAATGGTTTCAAAGGTGAATGGGAAACTGTGCACCGAACCACCCATTTTGTAGAGGGTGAATGGAAACCCCTCCCTAACCACCAAACCACCAGTCCAAACCACTCAGAGGAACCCATTCTTTTCTAACATTTGGAGCCCCCAAAGGCGAGGTCGTTGTTTTTTTGGGTTTCCTTGTTTTGGAAGAAGCTGAGAGTGGCCTGACTTCCGGCGACTTCCGACAGACGGCCTCGGCGGGCTGCTCTTTGGAGCGCAGCGGGCTGTGCAACTTCCCGGGGGACATGCTTTTGCTGGCCCTGGGCCCAAGATGTCGTGCGAGAAATGGCATAGATGTTGTTTGTTTGGATGTCCGGTTTCCCCGAGAAAGGGAAACCAAACGGGGATCGGATTGCTACTTGCACTGTTGTTTTTCCGGAAAAGGAAACAAAACTGGGTAGTGTTGTGTTTTCCAAAGCCCCTATCTAGCACCGAGTTTTTGAGAAAAGACTTTTGTGTGGGTTTGGGTCCGTTAAAGTGGTTTCAACTTTAAGAGGGATTCTCAACATTACCTCGGTTGGACGGTTCTTGCCCTTATCGTCATGAGGTGTGGTTGCAAAGAAGGGAACTTAGTTGAGCCGTTCCGCAAACTTTAATACACAACCATTTGTATTTGTCTTGATGAGTCTGCCTTTTAGGGGTTTCTTTCAAACACACAGAATGGAAGAACTCATGTTGGGGGTCACCATACACGGACACAAGCCCAGATTGGGGAGCCCTGTTGAACATCACGTTTATGTGCTGATTCTAAGGATCCCCTTGTGAATCAGACGATATTCGGATTCGAAACTACGACGTTCTGATGCAGTGCGCCCTGGTAGAACCTGCACTGTTGCAATCCCAACGTACATGTAGTAGACCTTTGACCCGTGCCAGACAAGAAAATTGTTGGACTGGCTTGGGAACGAGGTGTCCTGGCAATCGCATTCCTTGGTTGTCTTGTGATTACCAGTTGGGCCCTCTGACATAGATCAGCGCCTGCTCAGACGGGCGGCCGAGCATGTGGCAGTGGCCACTTGTCTCCATGGCTTCGTACGCATAGTTGTTTCGGATTTCTCCTGGCTACTTCATGGCGAGCAATGTTGAGCCCTGATGAATCAGAGGTGTTTTTTCATCAATTAGCCAATGGTTCTCCTAGAATGGGACACCCCCAACTGTGAAAGGACAAAATCCTGCACCACCGAAGACACCCTGGAATGTTGATTCTCCAGCGCAGATACCAACAACCAATGGTTTCAACAATGGATTCAAAGTGGCTCCCCCCTATGAAACCAGGCTTTGCCGAATTTCCTGAGAGATGGCGTGCGCAGCCGAGACGACTGAGGCATCCCTAAGTGCCTCGGAGGAGTTATGGAAGGCGGTGGGCAAGCGAGGCTGGCGGAGGGGCTGGCTTTTGTCGAGCTGATGGATGCGTTTTCTGGGTACCATTCTTGGGGTCAGCTTTACAGGCAAACCAAAAGAAACACCACTTGTTTCTCTCCTTTTTGTTCGGGATCTTCTATTTTGAGATACATGTTCAAATGAGGAGGGGATGTCAGTTTGATCACAAAGCTAAGTGTTATTTGATGTCATTTGCTTTTCCTCACAACACGATCCAAGCCAACAAGTCAACAAGTACATGAGCAAATGGCGGTTTGCAAGCGCCAAGCCATTCGGGCTGTTTGAAAGATGTTGCGACCTCCAGACGTAGCTGATCCAGAGCATATTCTAAAGCATGTAGGCGGGGTGCAGCGAGGCAAGGCTCTTTCCATGGACACACAGCAAAGCGCTATGGTGGCAGTTTTGCTATGGCACAACTGCAAACTCATCTTCTGCCCCAAGCCAATGCCAAGCCCCTGCTAGCCGTCATCGAAGGATGTCAGCAAGAAGCGTGGGGCTGCTATGCATCTTGCGACGCATGGGTGAGTCTTCGCCTCCGCATGTGGCAGCAGCTGTTTGGGCGTGACGTGGATTTTAGCCCACTGCGGGAAGCTCAAATTTGGCTCCTGAGGATGAGCCCGTGCCGTGGACTTCACACTTGATGTTGAATGTCGTTTAGGAGGAACCCCTGTATCTCTGACCTCGGTTAACTCTAGGAAACCAGCTACTTGAAGCTTTACAGGGTTTTGTTTAGGGTGTTTGCCAAGGAAACTAGACATTTATGTGGCTAGTTTCTATCGTGTAATACCTTGGAAAGGGAAGACATCATGCTTGTGCAGCGTCATGTTTGCTTGGAAAACCTTGACAGAATCGGCCCCAAAAGCCGAAAGTATCTTAGATTTACCTGGGCATACTGTGGATGGACGAAATCCTGCACCGCCTAAGAAACCCTGGAAGGATGATTCACCTGTAAATACCAACAAACAATGGTTGCCCATGGTTTCAAAGTAATGCAGGATTTTGTCCATCCACAGTATTAGCCGTGATCTCACGCAGGTTTTTGTGACCTCGGAGATTGAAGGCTTCTTTCTCGGGGGGTCCCTTTCGAATGAGTGAACTGTGTTGTTCCTTCTTGCTTCTTGTTTTATTGTTATTTGTAACTCGTAGTGTTCACCCGGGTGGATCTTCTAGGGATGTTCGAGACGGCCCCCTTTTCATCCCCTGAATTGGGCTTAGACTTCCTCACTTGGACTTGCACACTGTGGCGCGTAAGGGCAGCGGTGTAAGCACTGAGCCACCTTTGAGCTGATGCACTTTGCACATATCATGACACGTGTCGTGCAGATCGCTGCAACCAGGACAACAGGAAGGGCTATGTAACTTGGAAGTGTCTTTTTGAGGGTTTTCTCGTACCCCTTTTGGGGTTGTCTTACGGGAAGCCAACAAAAGGCCAAGGTCAAGCACGTAAAGCAGAATATTGAGACAACTCCATTTAGGTGTCAGCTGTGGACACATGGGTTTGTCTGCCATTTGTTTCCCTTACATCCGAAACAGGGTACCCTCAAAAACAGATGCAGCTTGGGATGCATGTGTCAGGTTCTGTTTGTGGCTTTCCTCCTTTTTGAAGGAAGGCCGCTGGCGCAGTTCCATATGGCGACGGAGGTTTACTTCGAATTCCGTGCAAGCTCACACCAACGATCACAGATACGATAGTTACTCACTGGCTGACAAGCTTGAGCCATCTTTTCTACTTGGCTTAGCTTGATCCCACACAAAAAAGTCAAAGGCAGCTCGATCCGCATCATCTTCAAACGCTGTCCACCCCCCAAAAAAAACCTTCTTGTCCAACCCCAAACCAGTTGGTTTGACCTCCATTTCAGCTTTTGGTCCATCCCCCAACAGCTTGGGAGCCGTTTCGAGTTTTTCGGAGGCGGAGAGCTATGGAAGGCGGTGCAGTCGATCTGCGGGGTTCCCTGAGCTCGCACGCCCGGATTGCTCTAAGGTGGGGAATCCGGCGGTACCCCGCTCCCTCAGTTTCTTCCACTTCACCTTAGAGCCCGGTGGTTTGGTTTCGGAGTGGTAGACTTTGGATTGGCCAATCCAGGAAGTGAGGTGATTTCGGCTACCCCCCCTACCACTACCTCCAGGTATGCAAATGCCCCCTGGCCACTATACCACGGGATGCCAAAAAAAGACCTTCTGCCCTGGAGGCAGTGGTTTGGGGGTTGCAGAACCAGGCGCCTTATGTCTCCCAATTGAACATCACAGCACCTAACCTGACAAGGACCTCACCAACAGGTGATGTTTGAAACAATCAACAGGGGAACTGAAGCCTCTTTCAGGGCGCTGATCTGGTCCAGTTCACGGCATGAACAGATGCAACACGTGCAGTGGTCAGAACTAGAACATTTCTCAAAATAGAGAACCCCTTGTTGGGTGGTTTTCCAGGAGAAACCAAAAGGACAACACCATGGCAGGTAGTCAAACCGAGCACCAACCAGACACTTTCGATCAGTTACTGCGCCTAAAACTACGGGAGCTACAAGGAACACGACTTCCCTCCAGATTGTTGCTGCGTCATTCGTGCGGTCGAGTTTCCCGACTTCAAAGCCTTTAACGTATTTGAAGGTTAAACGCAGGTGACAATTGACCATCCCACTGCCACACAAAATGGAGTTGGAAATTCGATCCGGTGATCCACATGGCTCTGCAGAGGCCGGCAAGAGGCATGTGTGTCATGTGTTTGTCGGGTTCCCAACTACCACCATGGGTATGGGCGTGCCCCACGTCGGAATGTTGCAGCTCTTGGGAGTGTGATTCTTTCTCGTTTACGTGGTCCTCAGGGCTAGGGAGCTCCCGGATGAGCACCAATCTGGTCTGCAGCGAGATGTGTGCAATCCGTCAGCAGGACGAAAATCCATGGACACTTCACCCAGGCTTGACATGTTCATCCAACGTTCCCATTTCGGACCCAATTTCATGTCAGGTTGCCACTCGCACCCGTACTTTGAGGTGTGGATGCTCACAAAGACAAGTAAGTCGCAAATGAAACACCGCGTCAGTTCCGGTTGCTCCCCAAGAAGGCTTCAAGCCGGAAGATTTTCGCGGAAACCAAGTGCTAAAAAACACCTGTTCGCCCTGAGGTTTGGAAATGGAACCACAAAAAGGGTGATGTCCTTCGGGTGATCTTTAAGGCAAAAGGGCACCGGGCTTCAAAGCCCTTCCATGCCCTTCCAAATAGAACCTGCGAAACTAGGGCCCTGTGACAGGAAGTTTCTGTTTGACCTAATTTTTTCCCACTTTGAGGTCCACTAAATATCGACCGACTCAAAGATACTTGGAAGGACAAAAGCCTGCACCAGTTGGGATGGATGCAACCTGTAAATACTGGGGTAAATTACCTACCAGCTGGTGCAGGATTTCTTCCATGCACAGTATTAGTCCTGGTTGCAGAGGCAAATGCTGAGGTAGTTGAGACATGTCCCATGTTGAGGCGGCGTCGATCTGCGTGGCAGTCGCATCGAGGCAGATGCGTCGGGCCGTGCTGATCATCGCTTGGGTCGGTGCAGTAGTTCCGTTTGGTTTCGCATGTGGGTAGGATGTTTGACTGGGGACCATTGGGGACCCTTTGGCGGACCGCATTTAGGGCGGGATTCATGTCCACTAACCACTTGGGAGGTTGGTCCCTCACTTCAATGTGTCGAATGACTGGCGGCAAGCTGCTGCTTTCGTTACTCTGAGCTGGCATCCGCATTATGTCGGATTCTTTGTGCACCAAGCAACGTGCGTCAATTGGGAATTGGGGACACTCGAAGTTGCAGCCCTTGTCCAGCAAGATAGCTTTCTTGATTGTACATAATATTCTCTCCGACTGGGTCGCCATTTTTTTTCACATCAGGGATGTATTTGGGGAGGTCTATCCATTTGCATTTGCAGTCTTTCAGTTTCAAGTTTTAAGCTGTAGCAACCTGCAAGATCAAATACAACCTCGGACTCGTGCCGAAAGCTGGAAGCCTTGTTTAGGTCTAAACGGTGTTAATTTCATCCACAGCAAACCTGCTGCAAACTCCAGCTCCAGTTGCAGTTGTTCAAGGACTCCAGTTGGATGGACCTCTGAAGGACGCTGGGACCACAACCTTACATAGTGATAGGTTTGGGATACCTGGACCAGGGGGGCTCCCCAGAGCATCAAGTAGTCTTCCAAAGCCCTTTTGTCAGCCTCCATTTTTCTTGAGGCCGTTGGGTTACAGTAGATAAGATGGCACAATTCCTCCATGTTAGTTTCGTCCCTTTACTTACCCACACGGGAATGGTGCCATCTACTTCCTGGTGTAGTCCCCCATTTGCCGTGGTTCAGCATGGTTGGTTCAGTTGGGGATTGATCAAAACCACCGAAGCAATGACAAGTCCCACTAAATTGGAGAGGTTACCCATGGTCAAAACTGGGGTCCGAAGGGAATATGGATCAACCCCCAGTTGCGATTTTCAGAGGACACGCAGAGCGCGTCAGGTGACGCAAACCTTGCAGCAGAAGCAAGCCGCCCTGGAGGCCTAGAAGGGAGCGGTTGGAAGCTGGAACTTGGAAGTTGGCTTCTTTGTTTTTTGTTAACCCTCTTCTTTAAACACATATCGTTATGTTGCTTTTGTTTTGTCTTTATCTGTCTTGTTTTGCTATTGTTCTGTTTTGTTTTAGTATGCTTTGGCTTGGTTTGTTTTAAACGCTGCCTGCCTGCCTGCTTGGCTGGCTGGCTGGTTGGTTGCTTGGTTGCTTGGTTGCTTGGTTGCTTGGTGCGATGTTTCATGCTTGTGTGGTTGCTGTGCTGTTTGTTTGTTGAGTTCTTTCAGCCCTTCGGCTGCATCTCACCTTCATATACCTCCCAAACACCTGGCATCGCAAATGTTGGGCCTATACTGGATATGTATATATATACATATATATATATCTTTTCTTTTTTCTCCAGGGAACTAAAAAGCAAATGGAGGAATTTCATTGGAGCCAGCCAGATTCTCATTGAACCCCATGAGCCCGAATGGCAGCATGGCTTTCGAGCGGGGAATGGGTGGGAAAATTTGGCAAAGCTGCAAAACGCTTGGAGCAAAGCGCTTGGAAATGCCGAAATGCCAGGTTTCCAAGCGACAGCAAGCACTAAGAAATACTGCCAAGGCAACGATTGGGCTCGTCCCAATTGGGTTTGTCCCATGTCGATGCTTGCTTTTAAGGGAAACCTAGAGGAAATCCACCAATATCAGGGGGTCCAAATCCTTTCGTTGGACACATCCAAGTAAACAGGGAATGGTTGTGCTACCACAATCAAATGAGCACAGCGGTTTGAATTTCCGGCCGCACAACCACATGGCAGCAACAAGTGGGCACCGCACCTCTTTTGGAGAGGGGTCCAAATCCTATCCTGTTGGAACTCGCGCACGCACACAAGTAAATTGCACCGGCGCCGTGTCGTGTCTTGGCGATGGCGACGCTGCGAGCGCTGCGCAGCATTTGCCTGGGGCTTCTGCTTTGGTTTGGGCCTCCCGACGGATGTTTGGGCGGGGGGGGGTTGGGTTTTCTTGCAGCCCCGATCAAGAACCAAAGAGCACTTGGAATGACCTGAAAAAGAGAAGTGCCCTTTAGTTTGTTCAGTTATTGCCTTTGCTTGGAAGCAAAGCCCACCGATGGACTTCTGACCTTCTGGCTTGCAGCCTTGCGTCGGTGGTCACTAAACAGAAGATTCGTGAATGCGGTTTGGTTCCAAAATCCTGCAGTTGTTCGGTGGCTTGTCTCAGCATTCGGGTTCCATCCAGAACCTGGCGTGGTTTTTTGTCCAACGTACCATGGGCCTAGCCCCAAAGTGAAGCCCATTGGATTCCCTGCTCGGGGCTCGAAGCAAAAGCTGTTTGTTAGTTTCCCACTCGTTGCGTGTTGCGCCAGAGCCCAGAGCCAGATTTTTTTTATTTACACCGCGTGGTGTTGCAGTTTGTTTCTGGCCGATTCTTTGAGAATTCTTGCGGAAGTGTAAAAAGTATGGCTGGCCGTGCCAGTAGTATGTTTCCAGTCGGGTGGCAGTGCCAGTTCAGGTTTGTCGTGTTTATGGTCAGCATGTTCCCGTGTAGCATGTCGCTTCTCCTGCTGAATGGCAAGAGTTTCCATTTGCTGGTCTTTAGAAGGCTGTTTGACTGGGGAGCGATCGTGAGCTATCCTGCTTGGAGAGGGCAATTATTGCAAGGGCTCAGCTTTCAACGCGGCCAATACTACTGCCTTCTCCATGAGCCTGCGTCTCATGTCGGCCCCTTGATTGCGCTGCAAGGAACTGAAGGACTCCTGAAATTGTCCAGCTTGCACATCGCGGTCTCGGGCCCACTCTTTTCTGACAGCTTTTACGTCGGTTGGGAGCAACCAATCGCCGAGCAACACATCGCCACACACTCAGGGTATGAGCGACCAAGGACCCACGGGACTCAACATGAACATGGCCATAAACACACATCCCTCAATCTTGATCCCTCCTTAGCAGCGCATGAAGCTCATAGCAGTTTTGTGGGACCTTTCTTTCTTCCGGAGGAAGTCGCCTGGTCAACAACTGCAGCGCATTCAGAGGTCAACATGACTTTTGACAGAACCTTCAGAGCATTCTTGGTCTGGGTTTCGGAGGCCTGGAGGCCACAAGAAGCCGTGCCAAAAAGGGGGGTTTGTACCTCCAAAAGCCCGCTTGTACCGGTGGTGTGGTCTTATATCAAGCATCAAACCCTCACACCTGAAAACGTAGCTACTGGTTTTATATCAAGCATCAAACCCTCACACCTGAAAACGTAGCTACTGGTTTTATGTCAAGCATCGACACCTCACACCTGAAAACGTAGCTATTGATTTTATGTCAAGCATCGACACCTCACACCTGAAAACGTAGCTCTTGATTTTGTGTCAAGCATCGACACCTCACACCTGAAAGCGTAGCTATTGATTTTAGGTCAAGCATTAACACCTCACACAGATAAGTACTACAAAGGGCAACATTTTGTTGCGCTGGTTTTAAAGCACCCCAAAGTCCCCCACTACTTATTTAGGCCCTTCTAGTCTATAGTCGTCTTCCAAAACGGGCCTTCGCACTTCCGCATCTGTTGAGAGGAGTCCGACATGTTCGATCCGAGGACAGAAGGCTTCATAGCGGCTCGGGGCCGAGCCTTGTCTGAAGCCGGGGGATGGTGGATGCAACCAACTTCTCACTGGGGGTCATCATTCTCTCAGTGGCCCTAAGGCGACTTTTTGACCTTTGAGTTCCCTGTTTGGTCCATGTTTGGGAATGGACCCAAAAGTTTCACTTTGTATTTCGATGTCCTTTTCGCGGTTCTCAAAGTCCGCAACTGATCACTGGGGGGGGGTTCCATAAACTTGCCCTGCGAGGGCTTGCTGGAGATTGTCTGAACCACACGTATTGTGGGCATTTGGCAGCTGTTTGGCGAGCACTCCGATTGGGGGGCTGCAAGGAGCTTAAAGAAGCTTACCGGGATGTAGGTCCTTTACTTCGGATGCAAAATGCTCAAAGTCTCAGCAGCCCTTTCATCAATTCCACACGCCTCTGCATTGAGATGCCTTTCTGTGTGTTTTGTTGGGGTGATTCGTGACATGAGACTTGCTGTCAGCTCCGTGTGCAACGCTTCGGACGCCTGAGCCCTTGATTGGCCACATAGTTCTAGACGCGACGACGGGGATCATGCATTTGTTCATGATGGTTTAGAGCTTGTGAAGAACGAAGGAATAGGAGATCGACCGGGGGGTGCGTAGTTCACCAGTTCTAGCGACACCTGTATGGAGCCAAGAGACCCTTGGATGTTGTCATCCTGTCCTGTGACCTGCCACTGCAAGAGTCTTCGTGCCTTGTTCGTTCCTGGTACTTGTCGCACGACTCACCTCAATCCAAACTCCACTGCAGGCAGGACTAGCTATCCATGATTAGCCGTGTGGGCAGAAGTTGGGGGTACCTCCCCCTTGTTTAGGGGCCTTTCCAGCAGGCACTTTGGGTAATTATTTGGCTGTCCATTATGAGCAAAATGGACAGGACATGGCACCCAAACCAACGGACAAATGAGCCAGCTTGGTGTTTATCCACAAGCAGCGACAAGTGGAAACCCTCCATTTTGCAGGGTCCAATTTCTTTGTGGGCCGCAAAAGTGACAAGAGGTTGGCTCCCTTCAACTGGGGTCATTGTCTTGACTGTTTGGGGTTATCATTTCAGCTGGGGCAGTTTCCTTCAACCTACCACTTGGGAGACTTCGACGATGGTGATCCAATAAGGCCAGTTCAACCATGAATTGCATCAGCCTGGAATGCTTCTGCTATTCTCATTTTGGTCCACTACAGGCTGATTCATGTAGGCCGCTTTATGAGCGCGACCGAAAATAAGCTTATCGGTCAACAAGGGGTGTAAGGGGCTGCTTTGGACATGGCACCTTGCACCCAGCTGCCTCTCTTAGAGTTGAGGCTTCAGGAGACGCGATGTCAGCCGAAATGCCATAGGCAGGGGTGGCGGTCGCTTGTCAGGGTGTGTTCCTCCACTGTCCTGAACAAATTGGACCCCCAAAGGTAGCGAACTGTCCCAATTGACCTTAGGGTGTTTCGGTCTTAGCATTGAGGTTCCGGGCTTGAGGGTTAATTTTGGGGTATCGGGCGGGATTTGCGACCTATCCGTGACGAAGCTCGGGGTGTCCATCTCTTCTCTTGTGTTGGTGACATATTATTATAGTTTACCCAGACTGTCAGCTTAACCTAGATTCAGATTTGCTTTATGCACACACACGCACACACACACACACACACACGCACTCGTATCCACAGTTTCCTGAAGCTGTCCTTTGACCCTTCTAGTTCTAATTATTAATCCATGAAGATGATGGGATTACCCGCAGGAGGCATTGTCAGCCACAGTGAAAAGCAATACATGTGCTGCTTGGAGTTTGTGACCCCACAAAACAAAGCAAAAACATGCGTTTCAATCCTTGTTACACTGTTGAACTAGCCCAATACTTATTTGATGAGGCTATGTGAGCCACAATCAAAACCCGGGTAGGTGAAAGGTTAGTAAGGGACATTCCCAACCATAAATAGCTGCGGCCGCCTTCTTATTTCTTTGCCGCATGGTTCTGGGTCGACCATTTCAAAAACGGGTTTTGATTGTGACTCACGTGGCGCAAAGTGCACCGAGTTCCCCCACAAACACCGGTCCATGCTCATCTCCCGTATGTCCCTTCATTGCGCCTCAGGTTGAACGGAGTTGGCACATGTTGCACTCGCCTGTTGCGTGTTGACACGACACTTGCTTGAACAGTTTCCCGCACAAGCAATACTTGGGATAATTTGTCGGCCCCCATTCCAGAGGTCTTTGTTCCTGCAGTTCTGATTGATGTGTGCAAAGAGAACTTTCGGCCCGACATTATGGTTTTCAGGACGTTTTTTTTGACTGCTTAGTCACGAATTTGATGTGGTAGGAGTTGGAGTCAAAGAGTTTGCCAGCATGTCAACACGTCAGGAGTTGGTGCCCCTGGCCTCTAAGGCAGTCTTGAGGGCAAGACTGTACTGGGCAAAGCAGTGGGTATTGGGCACTGGTCACAGTGCAGTTGTCCAGCGGCCGTCATTTCTAGACTGGCCAACTGGTTTCTTAGGATGTGCAGGAGTTCTCTTCCTCAAGTGGCCGAAGGTTCATCCTGGCTTGAATCTCACGGGCTCCAATCTGTTGTGACTATTCGGTATACGTTTCGCACGCTCGATTGAATCATTCGTTAAGAACCTTGCAGCCCAGGTCTGTAAGAATACAGCAAGAATCAGTTTGTGAGGCACCTTCCGGGTGAACCAGGGGTCCTCGTATTCCAACTTTTTGTGTGATACAAGCGTCACCTGCTGGCCACCATTTTGAATTCAGTTGTTTTGGGTGAAATTTTGGGCGTGTAAGGAACGCAACTTTCTCGGGGTATCTTCGGCTACCAGTGCTTGTGAGAATGCCCAACCCTATCCAAGTCAGCGACTTTTGACATCATTGATTAACCGTTTAACGCGCCAGATGAAGTGAACAGTTCATTAAGTCTTAGGCAGACGTAAAACCAATGGAGAACAACCAAGGCTGTCCAGCCCACAAAACAACAGTAAGAGGTAAAACCCATAAAGAGCAGGAAGACCCATGCATCCTAACACAAAAAGGGAAAAAGAAAAGAAAGAAGCACATTATTGTTATTATTATTATTATTATTATTATTATTATTATTATTATTATTATTATTATTATTATTATTATGTTAAGAAAGAAGGGCGCCCACTTAAATATATATGTATATGTGTCTTTTTTTTTGTTTTTTTTGGTAAAGGGCGCCATGTGTTTTTTGTTTTTTGTTTTTTGCTTTGGACTTCTTTTGGGCTGCCTCAGGCCCGCCCATCCCTGGCGCCCGCTTCTCGGTGAAGTCGCAGCTGCCGGCAATCCGGGAAGCCGTGGCGGAGCAGGGCCTCGCACGTCTTTGGCCACTTGGCAGAATGACCCGTTGGGAGTCTGTTGGGTTGGGGGGGGGGGCGGGGCTTTTTTCAGTACGGGCTCGGACGGGGAACGGAGTAATTATATAGGGGATTCTGTTGCTGGTCTTCTTTTTTTTTTGCGGGGGGGGGGGGGGGATTCTGTTTTTTTCTTTTGGGGGGGGGGTTGTTTAAAAAATAAGGGGAACGGAGTATGTAGTGGGGAGGATCCTCCAAGTTTGAAAGCTTGTTTTTTTGGTTTGGGGGGGGGTTGTCAATACGGGGAACGGAGTATATAGTATTGAGGATCAGGATTATTTTGATTTGGTTTTGATTTGGGGGGGGGGGGAGGGGGGGGCCTTTTTGAAGTAAGGGGAACGGAGTATTAGGATCCTCCAAACCGTGAAGCATGTTTCTTTTTTTTCAATGAGGGGAACGGAGGGAACGGGGTGTATAGTAGGGAGGATCCTCCAAGTTTCAAAGCTTTGTATTTGGGGAATAAGGGGATCCTCCAAATGGTGAACGCATGTTTGTCCAAAGTTCGTTGGAGTCTGAATCTCCCTTTTGCTGATTCACCAAGTGGCGGCCTAGTTGGGAACCACGTCGCACCGGAGATGCAGTAGAATCCCTCCAAATGCACAAAGTGCCCAGTACCTTGAAAGAAAGCTGGAAGGAGGGACCCTGACAGTGCGACCGGTGGCACGCCAAATGCAGCGGGCCCACCTAGTTTGGTCCTACAGTGGATGGTTGCGAACTGCATTTCGCAGCACGCACTACCTAAGAAACCCTGTAAATACCCATAGCCAACATTAAATCGCACTACCTAAGAAACCCTGTAAATTTCCAACAAAATCATTATGGTTTTCACCATGGCTTCATATGGTGCAAGACTCGCGGATTTCGCGTCCACAGCAACGGAGTTGCCGGGTCCGAAGCTCAAGGCTCTTCCATTGCCGTCGAAGTGAAGACGGCGTCACAGTTCCTCCAACGAAGGCGATTTCGGCCTTTCTCGTTTGGTTGGAGACAAGTAGGACACATACAAAACAAGGCTATATATATATATTATATAAATATGTAATAACATATATGATAAATAAATATATAGAACCTATCCATGTTTTGATGCCCATGAGCAGCCATGCCAGTCGAGTCAGAAGGACACGGGGCAACCGCGTTTCAACGTGGCCAAAGGCCCGGCCGTTTCGGTGCCCCAAGATCCTCCTTTTGCTGCGGTTGGCGGGGCCCGGTTAGCTTACTCTTCCCTTGATGTTCATTTGTTATCTCGCTTCATTCTTTATATGCTATGGCGAATTGAGCATGGCATACTTGAAGCGTGGAGCAGTCAAGAAACATGGACAGGGCCACCTCTGCGCGACACAGGGCGTTTTGCGCGCATGACCCTAACACTTGTGCGTGTCATTTTCCGTGTTTGATGAGCCATGATAGAAGGTTTCTTTCAAGCTGAGGTCGGAATCCGCGGCTTGCCTGACTGCTTGCGGCATGGACCGACCACATCGGGTTGTCTGGCGCACCGGTCAGAACCAGTTCTTGAAACCAGCTTGGCCCAGTTGCCCAGTGGCGCCCTTTTTCTTTTTTTTGGGCAAGAGTTCCCTTTAAAGTCAACCCACCCAAAAAGGATGCCCCTTTTTTCCCCCATGGCTACTGGGCATCTGAGTTGGCTTGTATGTGTTAGTCCCCTTCGACTGACAGCCTTTTCCTGCCGAGAGACAGGCAACGGGAAGCTTATGTATGGCCCTACTTGACATTTGATATTCTGACGCTTGGAATTTCATGCTTGTTTGCCCAGTGTGCAGGGCTTCCATTTTCTGCTTGCTTCCCCAGCATCCGTTTGCTCTATTTGCAGGTATGCTTGCAATCCAACTGCTTGTGGAAGCCTTGTTGACACGTTTTTGTTCAGAGCCCGAGTTATGTGCTGGGAGGCGTGTGAGCATGCTCGGTTGATCGTGGGTAGCCCTTCCGGTGCTTTGTTCCCTTTCGTGGTGTCCTGAATAATCCGAAAGACGGTACTTAGGCTTCACACAGTTTGTCAGAACCTTTTCTCTTGGTAACCCTCAAATAATTGAGGGACAACCATTAAGATCATCTTTTTTTTGACCGTGGTGGTGATTGAAATCAGAGCATGCGATCCCTTGTGAAATTACGATTGCTATGGGGATGAACATCAGACCTTTCTGGAAGCCTTGCAAAGACAGATAACCACTTTTCTGCTGTTCCAGGGGTTGATTCCCCATTCTGTTCAATCATTGTTCTGTTCAAAAACCTGCCATTTTCCCTGGCTTTCCGGAGGTTTTCTGGAAAGAAGGATCCCTGGAAAGAATAGGGAAGGTACCAGGACCACCCAACGACCGTTGTTCTCAATTTTGTGAAAGTGCCGTCAATTTGAAGGCACTTGTGAAAAAATGCAATCGGCAGCACTTCAGGTCTATGACCCACCAGTTTGGAGACCATTCTCAGCACATTTATGGCAGCTGAGTCTGCTAGGCGTTGTTCAAGCTCAGCGGGCAAAAAAGCTGGCAAAGGCTTCTGAATACGCAGGCAACACGGGGCGACACGCAAGCGACACGAGGCAAAGCGAGCGACGACGCAGGGCGGCACGCGAGCGACACTGGCCCAGACGCACGTGACACGGGGCGACACGCAGGCGACACGCAGGCGACACGCAAGCGACACGCAACGGACGCGCAAGCGACACGCAAGCCCCGTGACACGGAGCGAAAGGCAAGCGACGCGAGGGGACCCGCAAGACCTGCAAGGGACATGCTCGTGACGAGCGATGGAGATTTGCATGGCCGTTTGCTGTAAGGGTCATGAGCAGATTTTGTGCTGGGGTTGGCGCACAGTGTGCTGACTCTGGTCACAGTGCCTTTTTGCCTCGCCCCTGCCCTCGTATATCCGTCCGATTTTAGGGGAAATTGTGGAAATTCGCCAAAGCAGCACTTAGCCAAAAAGTGACGTTGTTCGTGTTTTACTCTAAGTGACGCCAACTTGGCAGCACTCGGGCGGTGCTGGTACCTCTAGAGTTGTTGTTGGTGGGCTTTGACCAAAGTGATCATCCCCAAAACGGCTTCCATTTTCCAGCCAGGGTTAGCTGGGGATATATACGGCATCCCAAGTGGGAGCCTTTTTCCCGTTTTGAGTGCTATGATTCGCAGGACACTGAGGACGCAGAAGAAATTCTCGCGGATGCCTTAGAATTGCTGTGGGGAGATGTATCTGGCATCTCCTTTGAAGCAGTTTACATGTTAAGTTTACTAGAAATAGACCAGAATCAAACATATCATGTTTTGTTTGGCAGCAAGAGCCGAGGTATGTGTGCACAAGCACAAGTGGACCCAGATTCAACTTTTTCCCTGGGAAAAACAGAGCAGATGTTTGCTTGGCCAGAACTGCCCTTCTCTTGCTGAGGGACAGCTGCGGTTGTTGAGCTCGAATTTCAATTTGTCGAGTGAGAGTTGTCCAATGCAATGTGTCCTTGCCTTGGACGTACTTCTTGGTACTTGGTTCAATACTTGTCAACCTAAAGAAGCTAAACGGTCTGTAGTTTTATGTCCAGCATGTTGTGGACGCGGGGTCTTGGCGGAACAACTCGAGAGTGGCCTTGGATTCCGTGAAGATTTTGAACTTTGCAGGCCCTCTTGTTGGGGCTGTTTGGGCATGCGGTTGAGCCACCAGGTTGTTGTTTAGTTCGTCCAACGGAAGAACATGCGCCGCTGAACATTTGCTTTACCATAGTTGTTCTATGAAACTGTTTGTGTGCCTGGCTGTCTCCAACAGGTTCTGAAACGAACACGTTCGTCAGGTCTGGTTATCCACTGGGTCTTACAGAACCCAAGTCATCAGCAAGCATCACTTTAAAGGAAACCTTGACAGGATGCGTGTTTGGTCTCGCTTGTTCCAGGCTCACTCTTTACCACCCCTTTCTTTACAACTGTCTTTACCACCCCTTCCCTTTACCACCCCCTTTTTTTGCGGCCGCCCACCTCCCCCCCCCCTTTTCCCGGCACCCACGTGCCCCTTTTTGAGCCTCCCGTGGCGTTTCCGACGGACGCGGAGGCCAAGGGCCTGGGCTGGTCCACGTGGCTGGCGGTGAACCGCGCGGAGTACCTCAAGCCCAAGGCCCCCGAGCCCGCAGCCCTGCAGCGGCCCGGGCCTCAGGCCCAGACAAAAAGCGAAGAACCTGAGAACAGTGGGCCGTTTTTGACCCCGGAGAAAAACAACAAAAAGCATGGACACATTTTTTCTATACCGGTTGATAGGTGGCTTGTCAAATACAATGACATGGACACATTTTGTTCTGTACCGGTTGATAGGTGGCTTGCCAAAATATAAACACATGGACACATATTTGTTCTGTACCGGTTGATAGGTGGCTTGTCAAAATATAATGACATGGACACATTTTGTTCTGTACCGGTTGATAGGTGGCTTGCCAAAATATAAACACATGGACACATATTTGTTCTGTACCGGTTGATAGGTGGCTTGTCAAAATATAATGACATGGACACATTTTGTTCTGTACCGGTTGATAGGTGGCTTGTCAGGACACAGTTTTCTGTACCGGTTGATAGGTGGTTTGTCACAAGATTGGTAGGGCTTTATCCATCCCAACTGGTGCAGGATTTCGTCCATATTTGATCGAGGCCACGAAGGTTTGGCTATATTTCCCAGATCCGTTGGGCAAATCGTTGCCTTGATGGGACATGTGTGTTGTCCTGCTAAACAACGAGAAGTAACCAACAGTTTTGAAAGGGGCCCTGTTTCTGGCGATCCCCAGCCTGTTTCTTTCACTCTCACTAAGAAGTAAAATAGACAAGCCACAAAATTGAGGGTTGGAAAGAAGGGGTCCCTCTGTCTGAATCAAAAGCAACCGACATATGTGGTGGTTACTTTCTAGTACCCGCTTACTAACTCGGGGCAGGTGGAGAAGCCGGTTGTTCAGTCGGCATGTCAATGTGGTTCCGTACCTGGCCACTACCAAAGTACCCAAAATCAGTCCAGCAACTCCACACTGGAGCCTTCTTCAGATTAAATTGCGCAGATCGCGAATCACTGTTCGGTGGTATGTCAGAATCTACCAGTAAGTGTCACAAGACGTTACAGAGGTGCATTTTGCTTGGATGTGAGGACTTTAACTTTTTGCCAACTAATGGGTTTTCCATTAAACCACTAAAAGTTAAGCTTTTAGCTGGGGAGCAGAAAGCAACCGAGGTTATGAGGACTTGTGACTGAATGCTGATAGTCATTGATCCAAGCCTCCAAGGGGTTGGGCGCTAGGTTCATTTTAGATCCCTTGGTCCGGAGCGGTAAGCCTTTCCCCCGTAATCTCTGAACCAAGTGCTTGCACTACTCTCCCAAGTCTTGTGTACTGACAACTCATTGAGGACCTGGGGCCCACCCAATTTGCTCTGCTCTTTTAGAGCAGGAGTTGAACTTAGATCTGTTATACCGCGGAAAAACACCTGTCGTGGTCATTCATCAGTTAACGTAGGTTGACGCACAGCGAGTGTCTTAATAATTCAAGCGCCCTCGGAGACTCCTCAAGAGCAATTATTGAACTGCAGCTCACTTGAGGAGTCTACTGTCTACCACCCCAGGACCTTTGAAACACGAGAGTGCCATCGTTTTGCCCGGCAGGGCCTGCCCACCAGTTCTTGAATCCCGAACCTCGCCTTGCCAGCTCCGGACCCAACTTCCCTTGAACTCCTCATGGTGTATTTTGGGTTGGGGTGTGGAGGCGACATGTTGGAGCGGTTTCTTTGACGTGGGTTGAAACTGGCAAGGAGCGTGGCGTTCCTAAAAGACGGACCGCTGCGGCTGATGCTTGGCCGGCGACCGTGAGCGGTGCAAAAGACCTTGCTCCAAAACGGCGCAAGTGCCAGGTAACCTTGACCTTGGGTCCATTATCTGTATGCATGTATGAGGGTGTATATATAATATATATCTATACGTGTATAAGCGTCATGAATCTGTGTTGCCCGCAAGACGTGAAGGACCCTTTCTGAAGCGGGACACCCCCTATCAATCATCAAGGGGGTTGATTCATCCGGGGTCAAAATTCATTTCAGCTGGTTGTCAATTGTGTGGAGGGTTCTGTCGCCTGTTGAGGATTGACATCGCTAGAAACATGATCATCCCCTTCGACGTCGAATTCTCCCTGTGTGCATGATTCATGTTTGAGCATGGCTTTGGCCCAAAGCATTCAGCCAGCTGATGTTTTCTGAAAGGACGGATCTGTGGAACACACAGAGTGGTAAAGGCAGTAGGCTACCCAAATGGGAGCTTTATTTTCTTGTCGATGGCATTCCGAAAGCCAGCAGAAGCCGACCATATGGATCAGGTGCTAGCTTCTAGGCCAGCTTTTGTATTGGGGAACCAGCTCGCGGACCCCTTCCGAACTGGCTTGTGGACGCGTCATGAGTCATGAGCATCATATTTGCTTTCAATGAGTCATGAGCATCATATTTGCTTTCACATGACAATTCAACGTAACAAAGGGTCCAGCCTGTTGTTCAGTTCACAGAGAAACTAGGCAACCAGTGCAAGGTGTGGATTTTCGATCATCTTTGTTTATCCCCTGGAGTCATGACCAGCGCAGCATGCTTCGGCTACGGCTTGGTAGATTTCCTCTTCTCCCTTTCCAGGCGCCAACTTGCTAGCCTTAAGGATTGAAAGGGAGCAATCCTAAATCCTGGTTCCCCTTTTGCACAAATATCAGCAACCTGATTTCAGTCTACCTTAGGCATTGCTGAACACGTGGAGCATCCATATAATAGCAAGGGCTGATTTATTGTCCGATCATCCGGTACATTTGGATTCATAGCATCCCTCAACCTCATACCTGCTTAGGCCCTTGATTTAGCATCCTGCCTTTTTGTTAGAATCCTAATATCAGTCCTAGAACCCATTTTTTCTGCACCCCATTCCACCGGGTCACCCATCTTTGTTTGCCCAGACAAAACCCTCGGCCACACCGCTGGATCAAGCGAGGAGCGGGGAGGAGCTGCGGCAAGTGCTGCTGGGCTCGCCGAAGGCGGCGGTGAAGGATCCCAAAGCCGCCTACGAGTCCTCCTTGGCCACTGCTCCGGAGGCGGGCCCAGTTGCCCAGTGGTGCCCTGTTTTCTCCTTTTTTTCCCCAACAGCTGAAAGCTTTGGGGTCTCCGCCCAGATAGGCTCCGGGGTGGTCCGGGGCGGCCCTGAGGTAAGGTTCCACGAGGGTTCCACCAGGGTTCCACGAGGTTCTGCGAGATGCTGTTGGGGATATCACGTGAGCTTTTTTGGCAAGGGTGTCCTTTAAACTCAACCAACCAAAAGAAGGATCCCCTTTTTTCCCCTGGGCCTCGGGGGCACGACGCATCCATGGTCTGGGTGTGGGTTGTTTGAGGGGAATGTGTACTGATGAATACATTGAATACACCCCAGGGGGACCCCCCTGATTAATAAGTAGCTGGGGGGGTATGAATCAGGCTCGGCAGTATTCGCGGCATGAAGCCGCAGTTGGTTGGGGTCCCCCTACTTTGACCAGTAATCCAGGCACCCAACAGGGGGTAGGCCCCGTTTAAAACAAGCAACACAAGCAAAATTAGTACCGATTGTTTTTTGCCCTGGGCACTGGGGATGACGAACCCAGCATGAGGCAAGTGCTAGCTACTTTCCCCCACTGTACCATCTTCAACACCACGGTTTGGTTGGTTTTCTTGCCATATGGGTGTCTGTTTTGAATTTGAACCCCCAAAATGTTGCCTTCAATTTTGGTTTCCCTTATTTAAAAAAAACGGCTGCAAACGGGTGCCAACCAAAACAAGCAGCGAGCAGTTGCCGTTTTGGGGCATACCTCAGGAGTTCCAAACGCCGGCGGCGTTTCGGGCGCTGCTGCTGCGCAGCCCGACGATCTTGGAGCGAAGCTTTCGGCCTGGGCAACGGGGTATTTGGGTTGCTACTTGGGTGCTCGATTCGCCAAGTTAGTGAGTGGTTAGTCGCCTGGGTTGTACCCTACCTCCAACCAGCCCAACTGACTCATAAGCAATAACTTCGGTTGCTAACCTCTCAAGCAAGTGAGCTGAGCACCCAAGCACTCAGATAGGTCTCAAAGGGAAGCTCCAAAACGGCGCCCGACCAAAAACCCACCCCAAAAAGGGGGTTCCCCGACCAAAAGCCACACCCAAGTGGGGCTGTTTCCGTTGTTTCTCCTGCTGAGGAGGCGAGTTTGATGATGGTCAAATACGGGGGGTAGTTGAATGGGGTCGTCGAAGAAGGGGTTGTCATCTGAAGACAGTTCATATAGGGTTACTCGGGGTCATATATCATTGGCCCTTTACGGTGGATGCCCGAAGTATTGCATGTAAACCAAATGGTAGATCAGACAAGAGGGATTTCTTGTTCCCTTACTTGCAAACTGGTATAGGCATCTATCGTAGTAAATCACTCTCAACATACACCACCGTATTTAGGTCATCCACGTAAAGTAGGGAGGTCAATTTTCAAATGCGATCTAGGTACTTACCCACTTCCGAGCCTTTTTTTATCGCCATGGGGACTTGACCACTTGCTAGCATATTTGGCGATTGTTGGTTGAATGCCACTACTTTGCGTTAACCACTACTTTGCATTAACCATTGCTGTGCATGTCCTTCTTTTATATTTACACATCGTTATCGACCACTAGCTGGTTGCTGATCATATTTGGTAATTCCCTAGCAATGTCATTAGAGCCCTGGATATCTACTGTATGGGCGTGATGTTTAATTAGGGACCCTTTGGAGTTCGGTGGGGATTCGTGTCCACCATTTGTGAGGCGGTTACTTATATTTCAGTTCAATGAGTACTTACCAAGTATGGTGTTTTTATAACACTTACCTTGGGTTATTAGGGCAAAACCCCACATATTCAGATATGGAAATTCAGCGTTGATTCTCCGGGAGTCTTCCTAGAGGTGCATTTTTGCTTGTCAAAATGCCTCTTTTTGAGGTTGCTTATCAAAAGGAAGCCAACAGTAAACTACTTTTGAGGGATTCTTCAAGGACAAAACTCTGATATGTTTCCCTCCAAGAATCATGGGAGCTGACAGCTACGGGTTTTGGATCCCATTCCTTTTGGGATCCGGTGTATTTTTTTCTCCCAGGGCTGTTTTTTCCCAACAGCTGAAAGCTTTGGGGTCTCAGCCCAGATAGGCTCCGGGGTGGTCCGGGGCGGCCCTGAGGTAAGGTTCCACCAGGGTTCCACCAGGGTTCCACCACCACCACCAAGTTCTACAAGGCTGCGGAGTGGTGCGAGCACTAAAAAGAGCATCGCTTGCTGTTGGGGATATCGCCTGAGCTTATTTGATACCAGGGCTGGTCCCCTGGTTGGTTGGTTGGTTGGCTGGCTGGCTGGCTGGCTGGCTAACTAGCTGGCTGGGTGCTTGGCTGGCTGCTTGGTTGGTTGGTTGGTTGGTTAAAGCAAAAACGTCACCTTCCTTTCGGGGATCGGGGAACCCCCCCCCCAGACTCGGACTTCGGACGTTCGCTAGGAGCTGAGCTTCAACTGCGGCCACCGCTGCTCGGCCGCGTGCGGCCGCTGCTGGTGCCCCGCCCTGGTGCAGCTGCGGGTGGGCGCCGTCCCAGCCAAGCTCTAGGCGCAAAAGACCTATCTGGCTGTGGGTCAAAACCGTTTTGGCATCCCATTTTGGGGTAGGTGAATTCACCACCCATTTTAGTCCAAAGTGGGGATTGGGATGTTCACTGGGGGTACGATTTGGATTTTGACCCATGCACATCTGGGTATGGGTTAAAATGAAACCACCAGGAATCGGAACGCAGGTTTTAGTCCTTCGTTCCATTTCCAGGATCCATTTTGGGCACCTATTTTCGACCCACAGCTTGGGTGCTCAGCCAAGCTAGGGGGTTAGCAACCGGGGTTATTACTTGTGAGTCAGTTGGGCCGGTTGTAAGTAGGTTATGACCGAGGCTACCAAGCACTTACTAACTTGGCTGAGCACCTAAGTGCGAAGGTGCTGTTTTTGCTTGTTGTTTTCCGGGTTGTGGGTTGTTTCGGCGGTTTAAATAATTGCTGTTGGTGGTTTTCGCCTTTTTGCGGCTCTTGGCAGCTTGTTGTTGTCTTTCATGGCGGTTCGTGTCCCGCGCGTAATTTGTGGCTTCTGCAGGCTTTTCATGGCTTTTGGTCACATCGTAGCTTTTGCGGCATTTCGTGAACCCATGTGACCACAGCAAAACCTGCGTCCGTGAATCGGGTGCAGTGGTTCCATAGGAAGACATCATGCCTTCGCTAATGACCGCTGATTGTAGAAAGGGATGAACCGTAGCAATTACCCGTCATGCCTGCGACTGTTCATTTTGTTCTCTTTGCTCAAGCTCATCAACCACTTAGAGGGGTTTGCTTATACCGCACAACAGCTGTAGAAACGAAGCCCCGAAAACAAACTCCAAAAGTGGGGTTTGTTTGTTTTTGCTGGATTTAGCGTTGGGTTCGGGTGGGATCAGAGGTTGGGGTGGCACCGTTCAGGGTCGGGCTGGTTTTGTGGTCTAGCATGGGTGAACTAAACCTTCCAGGTCCGCGGGTACCTCCTTGAAACGCCTGTTACAAGAACCTATCAGCACGAACAACTGTGCACTTTCACTCGTACATTTGCCTGTTTATGCCTACAACTCACGTAGCTCAAGCAAAACGACGGACTGCCAAAACGGGGATTCCTTGTGTCTGCTTAAGCCCACAGAAATTGGCGACTTACCAGTGCTATCATTCGAAGAGGCCTTTATCCTGAACCATACATGGACAAACTCCACCTCGCAACACATTGAAAACATGGTGAAACAAGTGTTTGTTGGTATTTACAGGGGAATTATCACATGGCCATCGGACAAAACTCCGTACCCCCAGCGAACATTCCAACCCTCACTAAAATACACTAAAATGGGGGGGTGCATCCCAAAATGGTACCATTGGTTCTGAACCATGGCCTCATCAGTCAGAGTTTCTCAGGTGGTGCGACATGGATGTCGTCCATTCACAATAGCATATGTGAATGGACGCTTTGGGGTCGGGCCTGTGACCGCAGGTGCCCTCAACCACTCGATGAGCTGAGCTCAGGTCTCACCGAGAGCGTCCCATCGATGTCTTCCGGGGATGCAAAGCCTTGCATCAAAGGGTTGGGTTACAGGACATTCTACAGGAAAGCAGCTGTTTTAGGGTGGTTTTGGGGCCATTTCATGTAGATTTTCCCGTAGCCAAACCCTTTGATAGCAGTTTTCGCTGGGCCCATGCCTAGCCGCGCGAGGCGATCTTTTTTGCGCTGCTTGGACATGCAAGCTTTGAAGCTGGAAAGGATACGACGCAGAGTGTAAGGTCTGCTTCCATTTGGTTACGTGCAAAAGCGACCTGTGAACCTTTTGTCAAGCTTGCAAATATCAGCTCGTTCTCACCTCGTTTTCAGCGCTCACGCTCCGAAAAGCTGTGGCCTTGTCTTCAGAGGCTGGCTGTGGGAGAAAGCAAAGGGACTAGTATTCCCGCAAAGTATCATGGGGCCAACAGAAAGATGTCCCTCAACATGCGATTCGTCTGGACCTGAATTTTGGCTCCACGCTGATTCTCAAGACAAAGCACTTGGGGCGAGCTGCCGCGTTTTTTGTTGGCTGGGTCTTGTTGCCGTGAGTGTTGTACGGAGGCCAAGTCATTGCGGAAGCCATCCCCCAAAATATGCTGACCACTACCCCAGAGAGAGGAACTTGGGCCTCTTACTTTGTTGCTCAATGACATGCAGCGTATATAAATGATAGCGCCAAAGATCTATATAATTTACTTGGTGCCTGATGCATTCGGAAGCCAGAGCACATGCCGTAAGCTGATCTGCCACGGGTCTTTCAAGACGTGATCCTCCTTCTTCAAGCAGCCGACCCCCCCAAAGCAGCAACTAGTCTACTACCGGTTGCGAAATCCGCCTGTCTATGTTTGAGAAACCAAATTCAGGGCCCCTCTGTGCCCAGTGCTGCCAGCCAGCGTTGTTATGTGGAGTTGTTTGCGGGGCCTTTAGCACTAAACCATGCACGTGAGCGGTCATTTGTTTCACCTGTCTTCATTTGAGCAAGTGCCTTTTAGCCACAACACGCACGTTCATGGTTGTGGGAAGTTTGGCTTTACGGGGGCTACTTACTGTGACAAAGGAATCCCCTTGCAGTAGCAACGCGGGATGAAGATCCCATGGTATCACAGAAAGGGCCCATGTCCCATAACCATGAACAAATTATCATCCAACTCCCAGATGGTATTTCCTGGTTGTAGTGGGCGACCCCGACGGGAATTTACTTTTGAAAGAACCCGGACAACTGCGCGGCTTCAGGTGGTGCACGTCCTGCTGCGGTATCCTCACACCTACGCCAGGGTCTTGGTTCGATTTCGGCTCTCTGCAATCGCTGGAACCCTTTTTGTCAGTGAGCCGTTCATCCAAAAGAGATAACGGCTGGTCACCACAAAGACGTCTGATGTGATTCCTATAGTTTCTCTTGTTTGGGTGTGTCACACTGTCTTTTTCGGAGCTGGGGCCCTGTCTCGTCGATTTAATGTGAAACTAAGGGTAATATTTTGGGATTTCCCCTATTTCGAGAAAAAAACACACGTAAAACTGGCAGGCGGAACGGTGACGCACGGCTCACTCATGCTTGCCAGCTGAAGTCCAAATCTGGCTTACTTAGAGGAGTCGGCAGCTTCCAACAAGAGTAGAGTTTCATCAACGGGTGTCGCAGAGCTGAACAATGTGAATTCGTCATGGATTCATTAGTTCCGACAGTCCGTGCGCCAAGGATTGATCGCATTGGTTCCAGCACGGGCTATCGGAAACGATGCCTCGTGAGGACATGGCTTCAATCGTGCCATGCCTTTTCTGTTCAGAATGCCGCCAGCATCCTCTTGTGCTACACAGGCTGGACTAATTGGAGTGGACCACATATGGCTGTAGTTGTCAAAACCAATGGCCAGCCATTTTGGGGTAGGTGAATTCACCACCCATTTGAGTCTATTTTAGTGGTTGGAATGGGATGTTCACTGGCGGTACGATTTGGGTCTTTGACTCCCCATATATATGCCATATTTGTGGTTCGAGATGCTCAAAGCAAGCGTGGACTCCTGCGTTACTTGCCTGATCTTCTTGTTGAGTTTGTTACAGTACGCATCCTGCCGTGGTTTTCCCTTGATGGTCGAGGCTCATGACGGAGGGCCACTCAGAATGAAAGGTTTGAGACCGAACACTCTCCTTGCTTATTTCAGGTTGGTGAGGTATGATAGTTACTCAGACTAAAGTCTAGACAAAACGATTGCAACGCTGCGACCACTAGGAGACGTTGTTTAGGGGCACAAGGCCCATCCCAGACGCTCACCCAGGTTTGACACTTAGCCCGGGTGCGCTCGTCTTCCATAAAAAGTGTGGTTTTGACTTCTAATCCCAATCAAAGAGCACTTACCCCGCCCCCCCCTTTTTAGACCCCTGGTAATTAAAGCGCTTCGACACCCTTTTCAGACGCCCTTTTATTGGAGGGCAAACAATCCTGCGTAAAGTGTGTATTTTGTGCGCTGTACCGAACCTGCAACACACACCACCCCAGCCTTTGCACGCGTTGCCTCTGAGGATCAACTGGTGCGAGAGGGTTACGTGGCGAGTGCCTCAGAGAGAAAAGTTGGGCTAAACTCAATGGGAAGTCCTCTTGTTGAACCTTACTGTAGCCGCCACACCGTGAATTTGGGTAGACTTGGTCCCCCAGCTAGGTGCCCTTTTACCATTTCTTTTTTGGGGGAGTCCCCTACTAAAATTGACTACAGAAAAAAGTTGGTACCCTTGCTTTGACCTCTGTGCTGGAGGACCTAGGACCACTGATGTGTGTCTCTTGTTCTGATTTGGTGTAAACGCTGACAACTCTTTGTGGCTGTTCCGTTCGACATCTTGCAAACAACGTGCTAACAGATCACAAGCACCTGGAGGGGCTTGTCTCAGAATAGGGGAATCCCGCAAGATTGGTGATTGTCTTTGGGCTTCCCTTTGAAGCCAACCCCAAAAAGGGTACCCTAGTTGAAGATTCACGGACCATCATGAGTGCTGCCGCCATGTGTATACCTGTTGACGTATCCATATCATGAATGAACTCTTTTTGTTTTGGCTCAAGGAGAAACAGGCGCGTTGCTGCTTGTTGTCAGGGTTCGTTGTTTCCCTGGGGTCTCCTTGAAACAACTGGTTAACAGCCTCAGCCTATAAGGTTAGTGTTAACACTACTCATTCAAGCTTTGCTTTCATTTCATATTTGCTGTGACTCGCCGAGCCATAGCCCCGTGCCTCACTTGAGTGCAGCCTGAGCCGCCTGCATCTTACTGTGACTTGCACGGACCCGTGTCCTGTACTTGCAACAAAGCAGAGACTCTACTTGTACTTGGCACATCCATTGCACTAAGTGCTGTGACCGACATCTTCATTTAATCCGGATATATCTGCGTGAAAGCCAACCTGGGTAGCGTTTGCACGCCTGCAACCTACCTACACTCAGTGCCTGTGCTTCGTGTTTACTTGCAACATACTTGTGGACACTTGTGCACGGCGAGGATCAAAGCCCTGTCTGTGTGTGGATGAGTGATCGTGTGCCACCAGCCATTGCAAATACAGAGTTGGAAGCTGCATTGGCCCGAGCTCGAGGCAGAGGAGGTGTTGCCGCGCAAAGGAGGTTGAAAGCAATCCACCTTACCATTTTGCGTCGGTACACGGTCCAGCTTCAAGCCGTCATTGGTGGTGGTGCGGAATCTCGATCTCTCCGGGGACGTTTGCAGTCTATACAGGATCGCATCGTATTCTTGGAGGAGGGCAACTATCCCGAGAGATTTGCCCCGGTGATACCGCCGCTAACTGTTGACTCGGACAGTGACTGCTCACTTCTTGAGGTGGAAGGATCGGACGAAGAAGCAGCTAATCAGCCGGCCACTTCATCCGCCGCTCCTGAGATCCCACCTTGGAGAATACAAGAGCTGTCGATTGCACCTGAAGAGGTACCGCCGTGGAGAAGGCCACAGTCGCCTGTGCCTTTGCCTCCACCGCCTGTGCCTTCACCACCTGTGCCATCACCACCTGTGCCACCGCCACCGCCGCCGCCTCGGCCGACGGTGAAGCGTAGGCCTCGGCCTCCTTCACCGGAGACCGATCCGGCGCCTGTGACAGCGCCTGTGGTTGGCTTGAGTGCGAAATCCCGGCCAGTGCCATCTTCGTCAGTGCAGATTATTCCTGCTGCGAAGCGCAAGCCATCTGGCCCGGCACCGCCTGTGCCGTCATTCTTTCCACCGGTTCGGACAACCATTAGTGGATTGACTGAGTGCATTTCTTCACAGTGGAAGAAAGTGGTGTCATTGGATTTCCACAACGTGGTGGATATTGATTTTTCTGCAGCGAGGAGTGTCATCCAATATTTGCGAGACTCAGACATCTACGTGTTTGTGCTGAGTTACGCAGTGCGGGACTCCACTTGCAGAGGTGCGCTGGACGCTCTACGGGCTAACGATATTGGTGTTGCAGTTGTCTTCACTAGTAAGCCCGTCGGTGAACTTGGCAAAGGCGAAGCGCTTGTTGAGTTCTGGGCTGAGCTGATCCGGCAGGGGAAGGAGCTTGAGGCGCTGTATCACATTGACGATAAGTTCGCCATTGTCCAAGAGATCTGTAACTTGGACCATTCTGTGATTACGGCATATCGCTTCAATCCCAGGCGGGACAACCTGGAGAGGTTTGTCCGGGATCTGCTTGCTTAGTGCGTGAGCAGTCGTATCAAGCAGGGCATAGAAAAGTCACTGCCGCGGGTCATCACAACACACACACAATACAGGGTTGGCAAATTGATCATTACCATATCCATATTTGGGCACTTGTTGTATTCCTTGATAGGTAGATCCTTGATTGTTGAGTACTTTGTGCAATCCATCGCAAAGCATCTGAGTTGTTGGCAGCCCGCCACTCTCAGACATGGCCTCAACAGGTTTGAGTCCACCTGAATCCAACGAATCATCATTGCAGGTATCCAGCACGTCCGATAGCGCCAAAGGTGCCAGTGCAATGGACCCTACTAATCAGTCACGAGCATTGACGGTTCGAAAGATGACAAAGTCATCAAAGGGAACGCCTAGGTCCTCATCAAGTAGCTCTAGCAGA